CCAATAGGTTTAATAATAATAATAATTAATTATAATAAATTACTGATAACATTTCAATTTGTCTAGAAACTATAGTCGATAATACTATAGTAGTGTATTCTAGTAAACTATTTAAATTATGTCTGTATAAGCGATGATAGACCATCACTAACAAAAAACGATTCGGAGCGAATTTCGGTTATATATATTTAGAAAGGCCATAATATTTACGTTTACGTCAACATTTTATATTAAAACTCTTATATTGAAAAAAAAAAATTAATACTGCGAATTACACTCAACATAAATTGTCAAGCATTTATATTTGGTCAAACAATTTTATTTACAGCTAGAGTACCTACCTTGTATATCAAAAAAAAAAATTATAAAAATACTCGTATAGACGTAGAATGTCGACAAATAGTTTAAAAAACTATTCTACTGTTTCAAACATTTTACCACATCTAGAAACGACAAATATAAGGTTTCTGTCAAAATTTTAAGAATTCATACGAATCAGCGCGTTCTCGGGAATTTCCAATGGGAGCGGGTTAGTGGGAAATTCCTAGAAAAATATGTAAGAGGCTATCATACCCATCTAATTATAACATTTAATATTATTTTAGATTCTGAGTGGAGCGAGGCAGTGGCGCCGAACTAATTTTGGGTATGCGTGGCGATGAACATTAATTTATACCCACTAACCTCTACACTATATTACACTTAAGTCGTGGGCGTCATAGCCCCCCCCCATACCAACTACCAATTTTTTAAACTATAAATTATTATTTTCACAATTTATACTCGTGTTGTTTACTGAATAATGTTAACATTTTAATGCACAAATAGGTACTTTAGTTTTTAATTAGCATAGAAATGATTTACAATACAATCACTAGAAACCTATGTATTGACATTTGACATGGACGGGAATATATTGGTTTTACTAGGATGTGTGCTTTTGTATTATTTTATTTTGTTCGTGCCGGCGAACAACTTTTCTACCGGAAAGCTTGCTCCGATGTATAGAGCGTAACACTTTTTCTGAAAGATAATTTTGTCTGGTTCGAGCATTAAAAACATGCAGGTTTACTTTTCACAGGGATTTTCAATATAATTGGGAAAAACCCGAAAGAAAATTATAGGTAAAACGGAAAATGTTTACAGCGCGCCGCGGCGTTACCGATTTCGTTATTTTAAATTTGTATACACGATATTTTCTACCAGAAATATTGCTCCGATATAAAATCGACCAGAGACCTTTTTTGTTGAATTATTAATTTGGTCGGGTAGTTAGAAAGTCGTTTTTGATTTTCGTAGTAATTTTTAAATAATTGAGCAAAACCAAACAGAAAAAAAAAAATAGTAGAAAGAACGGACAAATTTACGAAAATAATGCTTTTATTATTTTCAGTTCAGTTTTTTTGTTGCAATTCAGTTAAAAATATACGTAGACCTAAAAAGACGAAACAACTTATGTTTACTTTTTCTAGAAGTAATACGTATATAATTTTAAAAAACATGAGCCATTTTAGAGCTATTATAAACGTAATTTTGGGAGTTTTTTATTCGGTAGGTACTATTTTGATGAAATTGTTAGACTAACAAGATGTTCATTATACATTTTACTCAATGATCAACAAGAAAAAGTTGAGTTTAATGTAGTATTTTTTTCTATCGTGTATGTTTTCACTCTGTGTAGTCTGCGTAACACCGTGAACTAGCCGAAGCCGCTGTTGTAGATTTAGAAATTGATTACTATTGGTATTATTGGTTATTTATCGTAAAACTAATAATTAAGTAGTTATAGTTATCGTGAAATAGTTATCTGCTTTTATTAATGCTATCTGAACACGCTACGGCAATCTAGGAATAAATTAGTTCAAGTTATTTGTAATATTATGTCTACTATTTCTACTAATTGTAATATTATGTCTATTTTTTTTTTTTGTATACTATTTCTATTAATTGTAAAATGTACAATGTTTTATACTAAACTAGCAAATTATATGGAGGGGGGGGGGTTATACCCACATCTACTATATAAGTTCGGCGTCATTGGAGTGGGGAATGTATTGGTTTTACAATTATGTTTATTTTTTTTTTCTATGTAAACACTTTTTCTACCAGAAAGCATAATCCGATTATCAAGTATAGCGCATCTTTTCTGAAAGGAAATGTTCTCTGGGTGGTACTTTAAAGAGGACATTTTTTTTTTTTTTTTTTGAAACTTTCATTAATATTCGAGATAATGGAGAAAATCCGGTTCTTTAGATTAAAATAAGTTGAAAAATGTAAAATAAGGTTGTCATTGGCAACCGTTTTTATTTATTATTTGTTATTATTAATTTTTTATGATTTCAATCTTTTTTGAACAATCATTGTTGTCATGGAAACAGGTATTGTTTTAACTATTTTACCATAATATAACATATGTATTGTTGACAAAGCAACAATATCAACTGAACCCAGCTCGGAATTATTTTTTTGTTAGCAATAATTTATCGTTGTTTACAGATGTACATTAATTCTCGTCTATATCTTAACTTTCCAACTTCCACCTACAACAGTGGCTGCGCCCACATGTGAAGTATGGTAAAATAATTACAACAATGCGCGTTTCCATGATAACAATGATTGTTTAAAAAGTTTAAAAAAATAAAAACAGTTGCCAATGACAACCTTATTTTTAATCATTCAATCTTTTTTAACCTAAAGAATCGGGTTTTCCTCATTATCTCGAATATTAATGAGAATTTCAAAAAATGACCTCTTTAAAGTATCACCCAGAAAACATTTCCTATCGGAAAAAGTGCTATACTTGGAAATCGGAGTAAGCTTTCAGGTAGAAAAAGTGTTCACATAGAAAAAAATAAATAAACCTCTTTGTAAAACCAATACATTCTTCTAAACTCAGAATCTAAAAAAATAACAATGCAAAATTAAATGCACTTTTTTTTTTAATAATTTATATCAATAATTTTTTGTTTCAACAAATATATTTATATTGTAATTGTAAATATCAACTATACGATACAACAATGAATTTTCACATCCGTTACAAATTTAAAACGAATTTATTGAAAAAACAAAAAATGTCCAATGCGAGTTGTTAAGCCCCATGAACCCCCCCCCTTTGAGTACTCCCATTAAACGAATGGTTTTAACTGAATTACAAAAAAACACAAAATTGAAAATAATCTTATACAAATAAAATGTTTTTTAATTGTTTAAAATAATAACTTTAAACCGTTTTGTTTAATTAAAAAAATAATATCATTGTTTTCTTTTTTTAACCTGTTATCTAAAAACTTGTTGCTGAAATGTAAATCGAAATACAGTGTCTAGTATTTTCAATTTAAAAAGTACCCACTTGTCCGACATAAATCAATCTTCGGACGAAAACGATGAATAAATTGTATTATTTGTTTGAACAATAATATATTTAATTTCACCTACTACCAACAGAGCGGTGGAAATCGATAGCCGACCGTTTTGAGTCGATTCGGAACCTGTCCAACTGCGCTGGAGCTCTGGACGGGATGCACGCAAGAACAGGGAAATTTCCCAACACCGGCACACAAATCTGTCGTTGCGACGGCATGCTGCGATGCGTACGGGGGTTGTTCACGGCGTAGAATCGGTATACGCAGGAAGGGACAGCGCGACGGAGGCATTTTCAATGCTAGCGCAACGAAGTATAGGATTATCCACGGCGGTTTCGACATCGCTTCACCTTCCCGTTAACATGAACGGTATGACGAAACAAATGGCCCGTTTCCAATTCCCACACTATTCCGTAGCAAACGAAGAGTTTCCGTTATCGCGGTACTTATCGAGGCCTTATTCCAAAAGGACACAGGACAACGTTAAAAGAATATCCAACTATGGGTTACGGCCGCGGACTGGCTACTGCCGAAACGCGCCTCTGGAACGGCATCCGGGGCCGTATTTAAGGAGTGGCTCGGGTGGACGATCGCAAAATGGTTAAAACAAATCCTTTTTTTTTTTTTTCACATTTCGCGTTTGGTAATTTCCGGGTTATTTTTCACCCTCGTTGTGTTTGATCGCGATTTGTTTATTTTTCCACTTTTACAACTATAAACGAAACGTGGTGAAATACACCGATATCGATAGCCGTCCGTTGCGACAATGCGTGTTGACCGGCGGTTGTGTTATAATCTATACATAATATACGCCACCTCAGTATCAATACCATGTAGGTGACCAACACAATGTACAACCGTGGAAAACAATTTCCATTCGTTTACGAAAACGACGGGGTTGTTATCAATAACATTATGTTTTTGTGCTTTTAACGAATAATTTTATTTAGACAGATATTATTACGGAACGCTGCCCTGTAGGTTTACCAACTATTAGGTTACAGCAATAAAGTAAGTACTACCATTCGAAAAAATAATAGCTGAGAACGGGAGCTGGGAATGTAGCATACAGACGGAAATTTTTTATCTGTAATGTAACTGAACTCCGTTGATAATGATGCTTTGTCGATATAATATATAAATCATAGTATGGTAAAATAATTGAATAGGCATTATATATTTTCTTTAATAATATTTGTTTAATATTGTGCTGATTTTCCTGTTTTTTTTTTTCTTTTACTTTTCCCTTTTATTGGGAAAACTGTCACGAACATTAAAAAAAAAAGGCCTCCTTAAGAAAATTTCTTTTTATTAAAAGTTCTATATCATATACATCGGAGTAATTTTACTGGTAGAAAAAGTGTTCACATAAAAAAAAAATAAACATCTTTGTAAAACCAATACATTCTTCGCTCCACTAAGAATCTATAAAAAAAAAAAAAAAACAATCGATGCAGTGAATGAAGAGTAAATAATATTATAATATATCAAGATATAAATATATTATACTTAACTTTTATTTCGGTTTTCTTTTGTTGCTTGTTTTGCTGCAATTTTTGTTATCATAACTGTATAATTCAAACTTTGTAATAATAGCTTCTATGTTTAAAACTGCAAAACTATTAAGTCTTTCTGAAGACATAGATGGTCTTAAATAATTTTTTATTTGACGAAGTGTAGAAAATGACCTTTCTGTCGAACAATTGGAGGCCAAATTACACAGGAACTGTGTGCAATTTGGGTAATGCTCCTAAACCTAACAATGCTCTTAAAGCTACGTCAACATATGGACAAAAGACGGACATACTATTAATAATATTTGTTTAATATTTTACCGATTTTCCCTTTTTTTCTAAGTTTTTCCCATTTGTTGAGAAAACTTGTGGGAAAATCAAAAAACTACCTCTCTAAAGTACCTTTCCAGTCAGATTTCCTTTCAGAAATTTGGGTTGGAGGAGAGTGGTGGTGTATTAACACGTCGCACGCCTACCGCCACACTATCGATACTCCACTACTCTCCTCCAAACCAAACTTAAAATTGGAATATCTTATGAAGGACATCAAAAACTCAATTACAAAAATGTATATGAACTAATACTCAATCTATTTATGTAATTTTTAATACAGGTTGCCATTTGAAAATCAGAAGTAGATAGTGGTTTTACCCCTTAAAATAAAGTTGATAAAAAATAACATACGATTGTCACGGAGCTTATTTCTTAAATGTTCTAGAAAACAAATTCCGAAAAAAAATTATTACTTTCCGAGATAATGTATGTCTTATGATAGATTGATCACCCCGTATATAAAATACATGAATTATTCATAAAATTTATACATTTTCCGAAAACTTTTTTACAGTAGCTGTGAAAATTTAGCGCCCCCTAACATATACCAGAGGGAGCTATTGCCCTCCCGAACCACTTCTTCAATACGGTCCTGTTTATTCTGTTTGGTTATGGAATTATGACCCGCATCAGTATTTTTTTACACCATGGATGATTCCAGTGATGAAGAAATGATGATTGCATATATATGTATGGTTCATCCATGTATCGAAAGAAATTTTCACCACGAACTATTCGCTGTCGCGAGAGAATTGCGCCCATCAGATGCTAAATTTGTACGCTTTTATCGCGTGACCAATGTGAAAGTTACTTACCATCAGTACAAATGATTTCTCCCGTCGTTTGCAAAATAAACATAAATATGAGTGTTTCGATACTGAGGAACAGATATTAATAACCCTCAGGTAAACAATTTCTGTTCACTCAATGAAAAAAATCAACTTTACATGAACTATATATTTAGTATATATATATATATATGCGTGTATATGGTATATATACAATTTTTCTTATTATTAAACACATTTTAATAATAATTTAAAAATAAAATAAATGTAAAAATTATAGATAACTTTCGGGAATGTTATTGATGAAATGGTTATGTATCGTATTCCTCTTGGTTCACTACATTTAAAAGTTCATTAACTACTAATTAGAAATTTGCTGCGCTTTGATTATTTTTCGTTTCGAGTTTGTTAAATGGCGAAGTATTATTCACATTTGCATCCTGAGGTATTAAAAGCACAGAATGCGCTGAAGGCGTCGACAATGGGGATGAAAATGCATTTGAAGGTGCGCACTCCAAACTATGCGATAAAATGTCATCAATAGTCTGCAGGGCTTTGCGCTTGAAAAGTCGTACTTCTTCATCTGACATTTTGAGAAGATCCGGTAGCATGCTAAATAGAAACATTTTTAAACCTTCTGTTTTTGGATCCGGGTTAATGTGATCTAATGAACTCAGTGTCCTGGCTCTTTTGGCTTCGAAATATTCCAGGAATGCTTTATCAACTGGGTTCTTAAATCCACGTTTTTTATTTGTCTGAATTGATGGTGAAGACTCACACTGACTGTGAGTAGTAGTGTTCTTCTTGTTTTGAAACATATCAGTATTTAAAGTTGTGTTTAATGGCGTGGGTGATGGTGCTGGTGTAGTTGGGTTTGGCGGAGACAGGACCGCCGGTAGTTGTTGAATTAGCGATAATGGTACTGAATCTTCTTCGGTGGCCGTCAAATTAAATTCTCTAGATTTCTCTAGACCACCTTTTCTTTCTGGTGGGTTCGACAGATTTCCCGAAAGTGTACCTAATGCTTTTATATACGGTACGGTAAACCGCATAGATTCCATTAAGTAATATGGCTTTTTTGTTTTCGTTCCTGTGCCACTTACGGCAGGTTTCATGTGTCGCACAAACACGGCACGAATGTTTTTCCATCTCTCTCTGCATTCAGCCGCTGTAAAAAAAAAAAAATTCGAGTATTATTCCAATCGATTTTCAAAAATGCGCAGTATACACCTAATTAGATTATCGAGTGTTGTAATTTAAATTTTAGTCGTAAATCGAAAAAATAAAAAATAACTTAAATGTAAAAATTCTAAATAAAAATCAATTGAATCGTTCAAATTAAACGCATGCTATAGATACTTGGGTACTGGTGGAAAATTTGCGACACTTGCAATTTATTTCGCTCGAGTAGTCCACTGTTGAAGGACACGTACCGTACACAGGTACCGAATAAAGACAGCAGTGGAGAGCAACAGCAGTGCGTTTCGAAACGCTCTGAAATCTTCCAGACCGTGTCGGGGCAATCGATGGCGAACACACGCCAGGGACTGAGAAGTATGCGAATAGCGGTTTTTCCAATTTTACAAATCGCATCGTTCGACAGCGTTAATGGCTTGCCGTGACACCGCCGGTTTAGTCGCTTAAGATCGAAACTGGTTATGCCGGAAGAAGTATTGATGGTGCATATTTAGGGCCTCAGCAGTGAAGTATTGGATCCGAAGCGCTGAAGCGCTTGATGTATTCCCCCTCCGTCGCCATTGACACACGATGAAAACTGCGGCCCGTTTCCATATTATTTCGTTGCCGATGAAGCATTTCCGTTGTCAGGATATTTAATGAGACCTTACCCTCAAAAGGATTTTGGAACGCAACTTACTCACTTATAATTGATGGGTTTTTTTTTTTTTTTACTGTTTACACGATAACCATTATCTTAATAAATAGTTATGAATGAAAATAATCTGCGTACAAGAAAATTACGAAAATAAATTATTATGTTCGACACGTGCACCTCTAATGCATTGTATAGATTTAGCTATAGTATCTAACGGTATTGGTGCCGATGTTCCGTCCCGGGGGAAAAAAAAAAAACATGCAATTTAGCTAAAAATAGACGAAAACTAACGGTACTTGTCGGCTACGGATACAAAATAAATATCTAACAATAATATCATAAAGAACCGCTATTTTAGCGTTTTTCGATACCAAATTAATGTTTATAAATAATACAACGCGTAACACATTATATGGGCGCGTATTCGATTTATTCACCATCGATTTTTAACAAATAATGCATACAAGTTTGTCGTAAACAAACAGTTCTATTGAATTAAAATTGTTACCTACCTGTCATATTCACTGTTTTTCCGACTTCGTCCCATGCCATTTCCGTCTCATCTTTCCTAGAATAGCCAGAAAGGGTAAAGTTGTACAGAACGGGACGTTTCTCTACTTCTTCTACCAACTTAACGTTAATTGTTTGTTCGTTCATTTGTTTACTTTAATAGAAGAAATCGGAATCTGATATAATATAACGTTTTGAAAGACGAAAATAAGATTTTGAAAAAACGCACAACTCGTCGCGCGTGCGTGACGCGAATAAGCGAATCACTTGGAACTGATCACTGGCGCGTTGGCAACTAATTGGTAATTAGTAGGTAACCAGTAGCGCCGTCTGTTGTCGTCCGTCGAACAACATAAGTCGTGACTCGAAGCGGACCGGTTAACGATTCGCGTCAGCAATCGATTTCTAAATGCATCGCGTGTTTTGACGGCCTGACACGACGCATCGCTGTGCGTTTGGAAAAATCTCTTTCGACATCGCACGATACAATCGGAGCCATATTGCTATCTAAAACCCGACCGACAGTTCGTCTCCGTCAACTTCGTTTATTATCTCGCTGTTGATTGTACCTACGAATTGATGAATTCAAACCGCGGGTATAATCACAGTATCGTTGTTCCGTGATTATACTATCGATTTTTTTTTATCAATTCAGAATATTCACGATTTTTCGAGAGTTCCGCTCGTCGGTTTTGGATGCGGCCAACGAAATCTATCCTTGACCCTTTTTCTTCTAGCCCATTTTTTTTTTTTTTAAATATTTCGTACGAACAATAGACTAACGTAACATAGGTTTTTTTTTTTTTCGTTTTGTCAGTTTCTATAAGATAAACACTGATCGTGTGTTGGAATAACGGCAAGCTCATTTTTCAACTAAAGTTCGAAATAAATTACCACGCACGTTCTCAATACACTGCGCGTCGTTTTGGTTATGTCACCGTCGAAATGTTTCCCATAATAAATGGGCTGCTTCGGGCCGCGCGCTTAACCCGACGTGTCGAGTAATATTGTTGCTGATGGTAAACCGTATATATCATGATCATTACGATACGAGGCATGAATATAAATCACGATTCGTGATATTATTAGTTGGAACGCATATGTCGCTCAACGTTTGCGGCCCAAATTCAATGAGAACGGTCGGCGAATTAGGAAAAAAATTGCAAGTTCGAAGCGTGTACACAATTGACGAAAATGTCTATACTATTTTTCACTAGACAAAAATAGTTTTTCGCGCACGCAGCCTGAGCGTACGGATCACTCGCTACCGCTTTCGTCGTCGACGGCAGTCCGCAAAATTATACCTGGCCCGATAGTGGTAGAAGCCTTGGGCGTGGGGATGCGCAAGAATGACTGGTTTTCGTCGAGACTGTCTACCGTTCTTTCGTCAAAAATTGTATACCTGTTGAATAAATTAACATTTATATGATTTGTAATATAATATTATTCTAGTTTTTTTTTTTTTTTTTTTAGATTTTACAATTACAGAATTTGCATTATCATTAAAATGTACATAAATTTAGTATTTAGGTAACCAGTATCCATAATATTTCTAAATAAAGAAAATATTTTTTTAATTTTTTTTTTGTCACCTATACTTTATAACCTTAACAAAATACCTGTATGATACACATTTTTTGTTGTGTACCTACAACTATGAAATAAATAAATTATAGATAAGTACTTGATAACAAATAAACTGTAACGTAAAGATCTTTTAATTTAACAAAACCCTTATTTTCTTAAATAAATATGCCTTTAAAAGGGTTAAATGTGTTAGAATTTTCTGGTCTGGCACCGGTACCTGCCATTGGACATATATTAGTAGATTTCGGAGCAAACGTTACTGTAGTACAAAGAGTGAGTAATATGTTGCCATTTAAATATATTTAATAAGTAAAATAAATAAATGACCAAAATACAACAATGTGGTAAATAGATTTTTTTGTTTAATTATTTTTGTTTTGTAGAATCTTGTAGATATGGGAATCGCTCGATTAATAAACTGTGGTAAAAAGTCCATAGGTGTTAATTTAAAACACCCACAAGGAGTTAAAATCATAAAGAAATTAATTACTGAAACTGACATTTTACTTGAACCATTTAGACCGGGTAAGAATAGTTAATGCTGTAGCAATATCTCATTATTTAACTTTATATCTAATAAATAATATTGTTTTATTAAAAAAAAAAAAATATTATATTTTATTTTACAAGGTGTAATGGAAAAACTAGGCTTAGGGCCCAACGTATTAATGGAAGAAAATCCACGTTTAATATACACTCGATTGAATGGCTATGGTTCGTATGGAGAATATTCACAGAGAGCTGGGCATGATATTAATTTCTTAGCTATGTCTGGTAGGTAAAATTTGGTACCTACACAAGTATATAACATAAATATTGTTAATATTTTATTAATAATGATAAAAAAAAAAATTCAAGGCCTTTTGTCATTATATGGTTCCAAAAAACCTAAAGGTCCTGCAAATTTCTCAGAATTTGCTGGTGGTAGTCTGGTGTGTGTAATGGGAATTTGTATGGCCATCATAGAGAGATATAGAAGTGGAAAAGGCCAAGTCGTCGATGCTAATATAACTGAAGGAATTTCATATGTCGGTAGTTGGTTGTATTGTTCACAAAATTCTGTTATTTGGGGAAACGGAAAAGGCCAGAATTTGTTCGTAAATTTGTATGTATAAAATTATAACGAATATAAAAATTAATATTTTTATCAGACTGGATGGAGGGGTGCACTTCTATGATACTTATGAAACCAAAGATGGAAAATGGATGGCTGTTGGTGCAATAGAACCAGAATTTTACAAATTGTTTATTGAAGGTTTGGGATTAGATATTGATAAAATAGAACAATTCAATAATTCTGATAGTAACAGAGAAATTATTGCAAGAACATTTAAAGAGAAAACCCGAGAAGAATGGTCTAAAGTAATATAATTTAATTTGTTAAAGAGTGTAAGAACTTTTTTATTTATTAATAATTCAAACAAATTAAACTCATAGATTTTTGATTCAAAAGATGCTTGTGTAACTCCCGTGTTAGATATTGATGAAGTTGATCAGCATTCTCATAATGCAAGTAGAAATTCATTCATAAGGAAAGATAATACTTTGTTACCTGTACCAGCACCAAAATTAAATATTACTCCTGGTATTTCGAGAGCAAATGAACCAATCGCCACGTATGGACAGCATAATAGTGAAGTACTTAAAAGTATTGGGTATTCACAAATTGAAATTAGTAATTTATTAAAAAATGGGATCATATTTGAAGAAACAAAAAGTAAGTTTTAGACAAATATTTATGCCTAGAAATAATATATAGTATTGGTTTTTTTTTTGTGTATTTTATCATATTCATTGTAGTTTTACATAGTTTTAAATTTTAATACAGACATTTTTGATTGTATAACCATCTTATATATTTATATTCATTTGTAAAATTATCTTTATTATTTGGAATAAATTTATGATCAGTTCTGTTCCTGAAATATTTCAATTCATTCTTATTTGTCCATACACCTGAGGATAAAAAAAAATAATATATTATTAAGTTAGTTTAAAACATAACATTGAGTTATATATAATACAATGGCTATAATTCCAATTTTAAAGTCAACTGAGCCAAATTTGAGTTAAGAATTATATTTAATCAATGTAGAATCATAAATCAAACTTGATGAAAGTTTCAATGTTTTAATTTTATAAATTTTATTCTTAAAGGAAGTAATTTTTTTCCCACTTAGTAGAACACTAAAAAATGTCATAAAATGGGTAGATATTATATTTGGTACCATGTGATTTTATATTTTATATTGATAATAAAAATGATTTGATCATTTTTTATTATATTCATTAGCATGTAATTGTGTACATTATATTTTGTTTCATGGAGTGAATGGTCAAAAGATGATTTTGTGAAATGATATTCACTAAAGAAAATTATTAAGTATTTAATTAAGTGAAAATAAAGGGTTTCTATTTCATGAACTTTATATGAAATACACAATTTTATCATTATAATAATATGTTGCATCCATATAATGTAATCAAATTATCCACAAAATGAATATCCATTTTATGAATTTTGATCAGAACGTATATGCAATTTTCAGGTTCATGTAATAGGACACTTAATATTCATAACAGGGATATAAATTTTTTGAAAAGTTTGATTATACCATATGGATGTGACATACACATATTAATCTGTATATATTACACTATTAACGAGAGAACACGCCTCAGCCCGATAAAAATTGGTCCGTTCTATGCTTTCCCTTGTGTCATTCACCCATAGCGTACCATTCTACTTATCAGTGAACACCGTAATTGAGCGTCATCACGACGACCAGGTATCTTAGAGGGGATGTGCAGAACTGACGTGTTCTCTCGCTGAATATACTATAGGCACATACCTGATGATAACCCAGCCATAAAAGCTGCACCTAAACAAGATACTTCTATTCTGTTACTATTTTTCATTCTTACTACTGTAGTGGAAGTAACATCAGCAATTGTTTGACAAATGTAATCATTTCGAGACACACCGCCATCAACCCTGTAAAACAAGAAATACAAAATAATAAAAAATATTAAATGTTTTTAACATTATTACTAATACCATAAAGTATTCAACACCATTTGTGGCATTTCATTGTGAAGATTATCCAAAATTTTTTTAATTCTAAACGCAAATGATTCTAAAATAGATATTGCCATATCTGTTTTTGTAGTAGATGATGTAACACCAATAAAACTAAAATCCCTCCTTATTGATTTGGAAAACTAAAATATTTATTTATATATAATTATTAATTAATAATTAGAATATGTTTGTATTATTACATACAACCACTCACTTCAGTATCGGGTAAAACAAACAATAAATTATTAGTTGAAAATTCATTTCCTTGTTTTAATATATCGTTTAACTCCTTTGGATTATTAAAATTTACTATTAATAGATGCAAAAATTAAATATTTATACAATACAATACATACAAAAAACAAATAATTAAAAACCTCACCAATGGATTTTCCAAGTTGAATTAACGAGCCACTATTGTAATCAACTGCCTCCAACGAAAAACAAATATCATTGTTAAATGTCCATCCAACCAATGGAAAATATCCTAATTTTAATAATTTATACAAGCATTAAATAATAGAAATATGAAACAAGGTTTTTTTCTATACTACCATTGAAAAGCTAACAACAGTAAATATTAATAAATATATTTTTTTTTTTAAATAAAAATTGCTTGCAACAGTTTTAATTAACTTGCAATGAGTTGCATCATTATTTATAACTTGTGGCCACCACAAGGTATTTTTGACCGCTCATAGTATCATATCTCATATTTTTTTTCATATACTTTAAACACAAATACATTTAATACTGATGTACAAGAATTAAACTTTAATTATTTATTATATTTTAAAATAAAAGTTGATGGTATTGGAATTATTATGTTAATTTACCGTAAAATATAATAATATACAAGCCAGTAGTATACATAGGTAACTAAAATGACGAAAATCGTTTGCAATCAAATTATACTGATTAACAAGAACCAGATAGATAAAGGAACTATATTTTCTAAAATTAGTCACGGATAAAAATAATACCTAACAAAATTCATTAAGAGTTTAGTCGCATACTGTCTTTTTGACAGGTTACTGATAATATTAGGGCCTAGATTTATATACATTTGCATATTTTTTTTTAGCAATCCAAAAAGTAGCTAGGTAAGCTCCAAGTTTGAATTATAGTCAACAGATCCAAAATATAAAATTTTATTTTGCATATTTTTTTGTATACTGCATGTCTATATTTTACAATTTTTCATTGCATTATAGTCTAATACCTAAGTGTTTCAAACCAATTTGTTTTACTATTGTTTGTTGGTTTTACTCACGTATACCTATGGTTCGTAAGAAATTTGTTTTCTTATATTATCTAATCACTTCTAGATAAAATTAATTTGATCGAAACCAGTTGTTGTAATCATTTTTGTTTACATATTTTAATGATAATCAGTGCATAAATGCATGCATATTTTGTAAATTTTTAGTGCATATAATTCCAGGTCCTACTGATTATACAAATGTCTACAAATTCAATAAACAATAGTTCTAAATAGCTTTAAATAATAGTTTGACATAATAATTACACATTAAAGACACAATGAGTAATTTGTAAAAAAAATAGATACACGCCATTTTAGACCGTGATGCAACTCATGGCGGGTTAATTATAATAATAATTAATATACGTATATATTCTATATATCTAACCTAAACATACTTCCGGGGCTGAACCACAATTTATGTCTAGAAACATTCCAGTTCCCATAGTAACTTTTGCTGTATATTTTGAGAATGAACCTGTACCATATAATGAAGCTGATTGATCAGCAAGCTAAATAATAACAACAAACATTATAATATAATATAATCGATTATGAAATAAGTTACAAAAAAATTTACTATAATGTGAATTTAATTATTTGAATACTTTTTTAAATTAAATTAGCTTAATCATATTTAACACTTAACTATTTTTAATTACAGGATTTTATGTTTTATATTAACTTTTTATTTGTTTAATCCAATTTTATTATTAAATGAGTTAACTTACTGAACATGCAATTGTAATATTGGAAATTTTGCAAGTTACACTGTTTTCTATAAGACAAGTGGATATATTCGAACTGCAAATACTTGGTAATATAGAATATGGGATTCCAAAATATTGAAAAATATAATTAGGCATCCAAGACATAGTGAACAAGTTGAACAATCCAGTAGCGCTAGCACATGAGACATCAGTTACATGTAATTTTCTGTTACTGGCTTGATATAATATCCAAGTGTCTAAAGTGCCGAATTGAACATCATCATTTCTCATATCTTGTCTAAATTTTCGATTATTTTGTAACAACCATAACAGTTTTGGTAAAATCTATAATGAGATTATTTTAGATATAAGTATTATACAAAAGAATATAATAAATAAATAATAATACTTGAATGCTTGAAAAAGTAAAGGATTTTGCTACTTTGAATTCTTTTTTTGCAAAAATTAAGTACAATATTTTTGAAATAAATTTGACTATCTAAAAAGGATTAGAATGATACATTATTATATCAATTATAATTATTAGTTTGTATTACAATATCTTTAAAAAACTTATATTATACATACTTTAAATGTAATTGACTGGTTCAATTGTTGAACTATTACACTTGAACGTGAATCTCCCCACGTAATAAAATTATGATAATGCTCACCCGTCGTTTTATTCCAAGTTATAAATGTGTTACGCTGAGTTGATAAACCAATACATTTTATATTTTTTGACATAAGATCTGCATCTATTTCCAAAAATATAAAAAATAGTATTTTATGAATTATGAATTCAATTTTTAATGACTTTTTGTCTCAGAAATTATTAGATTTTTTGTAATTTTCATTTTAAAAAATTAAATATACACATACAGACACACTGAGTTCTACAATTTTACATTATCTTTTTATTTATTTTAGTTTGGCGGTGGTGAAACCATTGCCGATTTTTGATTTTCTAATGAGATCCTGTTTTAAAAAATTTGATAAATTGATAGCTTATTATTAGTTGACAATTTTAACTTCCACCCCTTAATCAGGTACATAACCTGTCAAGTGGTTCTGGACTATTTTTAATTTAATTAAACAATTTTTGTATAAAATATTCAAAACATATTTTGTTAAATAATAGTAATTAAGAATATTATAATTGGTACTATGTAACCTTTTAATGCATTTTGTATAACTTGCTTTACGCCATTTTGTAATTCATTTGGATTAATTTCTTCCCATCCTTGAAAAGGTCTTAATATATTAACCTGTAAGTAATTTTTTATATCAGTATGATATACTTGTAATATGAATAATATATTAGATGTATTTAACATAGTATTAGTCATAATGAAAAGAGTTGAATTTAGATGTTCAGATGCCTAGGGCAAATCTTTTTTGAAGCCCTTATCGGTAAAAAAATTAAAAGTATCCTTACAATATCTAAGAAGTTAAGGAAAAAATTAAAAATTTGCAAACTTGCAAGTTATAACTATCTACCAAAATTATGTTTATTACCAATTTGAAATATTGTTGTTCAGCAATTTTATCAAACGTTCATAATTTTAAGAGTAAAAATAAGTATATTAATCTCATAACATTTTATTTAGTATAATTTTGAAATCAAATCTTCACACTGTTACATTAATTATTTCAAAACAAAAAAGACTGACATACTTCGCACATGGATGCAGCCACTGTTATTGGTGAGAAGTCGGGAAGGTAGGATATAGAAGGAAAATTAATTTGTATCTGTAAGCAACGATAAACCATTGCTTATTAAAAACGGAGTTCAGTTAATAATGATGTTTTGTCAACAATATATGCACCATATTATGAAAAAATAATTAAATAGCCATTATATATATTCTTTAATAATAATTATTTAATATTGTACCGATTTTCCCAATTTTTCATATTTGCTGATCAATGGAACGTTTATACCTATATACTCAAATATTTTGTGTTCACGGGATGTCACATTGCCATTATGTTGTCACGTGAAATCTTGATATATTAATCATATAAATACAAATCAATCTTTATTTTTCATACATTTCCTAAGCCTAGGGTCAAAAAGTTTTTCATATATCATTCCGGCACCTGGATGCCCCCCAAACTTCTGTTGCCCGGGACAAGTGGCCTTAAAACCCTCTATCATATACGGCCCTGATAATGATTACTAAATATGTCATAATAAAAGGCAATACATACGTTTTGTATAGAAGAACCTATAACACGAAAGTCTGATGAAAAAATTTGGCATTTCAAATTAGTTGAACCGATGTCAATAGCAGCAACATAATCCATGGTTTTGATCACTTTAGTTACAATTTTACACCTACACAAAATGAATAACAATCAATAACACCTTATTCAAATAATAATATATTGTTAATGGTATGTACTTGATTACTATTGATCATGTTATTAATGCAAGTTTAATGGCAAAAAAATATCTATACATTTTAGTAATCTATGATGACTAAGAAGTAATAAATAATAATATAAATTTTCTGAATATTGGGCATAAAATATATGATTATCTTTCTCATTTAAATACCTTTATTATAATTAATTAGCTTGCTTTAATTTTTTTATATTTCTTCAGAATCGGTATTTATTATAAAATAAAATTATTATGAATAAGACAAATGTAAAAGCATAATAATATTTTTCCTTATAAATGTAGGTAGATACTTTGAAACATTTAATTACAGAATATTAATCATCTTATAAATCATAAAATTGCAATAAATTTAAATTCAATGAGTAGATTATTGTTACAATGACAAAATGTAAAAAGGTTGAGAAGTATCAACAAAATTATAGGTACTTTATTATTATGTACAAATATCCAGAGGCTTACGAGTCCAATAATTAATGTTAGTGTTCATTTTTTTTTTTTTTTATCAAAACAATACATTAAGTCATAAAGCAATTGAAAAATAAAAAATGATATAACTCGATATTTACCTAATCGTTATAAAACATAAAAATTAGCCTAGATCAATACTATTAATTTTGTTTTTATTTATCTTAATATTGACTACCTCAGTTAGTTACATGACATGGGACAAGATTTGAAGCGAAGGCCTGAACTAACAATGATGGGGGTTCACTTCTTGATTCTAGGTATAATCAGTAAACAAATATTTGATTGCTAAATCCAATATTTATATTTTTTATTATATTTCCAATAGTTATTTACGCACCTGCCCGAGGCCTAAAATTTAACTGATGTTCAAGTTGAATTCTCTAAGATGGTGGCAGGGGTAGGTACGTTATTATTTGTCACTCTTCTTATTGTTTTGAATAAAATTAAAAAGGAAATAAAGTTTATAAATAAAAAAGACCTACCAATTAGAGTACAATATTCAAGTATAAAAATTTCCTGCGAAATAAAATTCTAATTTAAAATATAATAACTAGGAAGTAAGATATACAGCAATACAAAGTACTAAATGTGATTTGTACATTTCGAAAAAAAAATAAAAAACAAACATTTTCTCCAAACACCACTGCGTTATGCGTGCTTTTCCCAAAACTAACTTCAAATTGTTTATATCCGAAGACGATAGAGCAAGCACTAAAATACCAAACATTATCTCGATAAACATTTCTAGTTACATGTCATAAATTTACTTACACGAAGATATTACGTCATTATGTTTATGAGCAAAACCATTTGTTTTAGTTTTTACCGCGAGAAGACGTCTCGGCCGAAAAACAAAATCGTACGAGTAGGTAATATTGTATATGTTGGTAAAAAAATAACTCAAGCAATAGCATTCAAAACGAAAAACAATATATACTTATTAAATTGAATATATTTATGCGTCGATAAGTTATAATACAATCGGAGGAAAAAGTAATTTGTGTCTATATTTGTTTATTTTTGCTGGTTTCTTCTTTGTAGAAGTTACTGGCGAGTAAAACTTTCAAGTTCACGGGAAAAACTGACCTCTTTAAACGTTGAAATTAGTTCAATTCGTTCTAATATTAGACGATCTGCCTTTTCGGCTTTACGGAGCGGGATTATAATAACACAGAGTTATTTCTCCCCCCCGGACGTATTCGACGTAATATTCACGGAACAGGATAATTCGACGTTTCCATCATTGCGTAGGACAGGTTGCAATTTACGTATGCGGTACGTAAATAGCGATTAGACCGAACGTTTTTCCCAGTGAAAGAGAATCTCCGCCATATCCAATTCGTAGAAAAATGCGCAATCGCACCGAAGTTTCCGTGGTGTCGATGTTGTATCGTATTACAATTACACAACGCCGACAGTAGCCGGATTCGTTGACAATGGAGTTTACGGGCCCGATTAATTAATTTTACCAGATATGAAATATAAAAATCCGACGGCATAAAACCGACGTGATCCGCCGAACAACCGACCGACTAGTTTTCGAATGAACAGCAACGATGTAATTTCGTTTGTACGATTACGGCAACGGATTATAATGTACGGAAATAAGCCGTAGGTTTTAACGGGCCAATACAGGGAACACCGATACTTCGATAACAATATTCGGTGTTGAATCCGGGTATGCGACAGGGAGGACGAGAGTCCCCCTCGGGATATTGTTCGACCCACCCACCCACCTGCTGTTAAATGTCGGGTAAATTAACAACTAAACACAATTTGACGGGTTTTAGTAGGAGGGTAGACAAGCATGAGAAAAAAAAACAAAAAAGTCATTAATCGACAGATAAAAGTATTCAATTTCAACTTGGACCGTGATATTGTTATTAAATCCATTTCATGGGGGAAATCCATCCAATGCGGGCATATCGAATAAGTATCCTTTAACGATAAATATTGCAAGGGCGAGTGGTCCATCGTGATTTATTTAATAATAATTATCTACAAGCTTCGGTAGTCAATTAGGAAACTAGGCGTTTACACGAAAACAAACGGACCGTACGGAAAACACCGACGGCGACGGTGTTGACGCTGAATCGGTAAAAGCCTAAACCGCTGGTCGGGATTGTACATGAAAACACGTACGTACTCAATAAATGGCCGAACTGTGTTGTGGAACGTTTTTCGGCGTCTTGAATGACGAGTCTTATAGTGCGGCCGTCATTACCTGCGTGCGAAATGCGAAGTAGTTAGTAGGTAACGCCGAGCCGCGGTATTCACCACAACAGAGTGTCGGAAGCCAGGACGACCAAGTGGCGTCGTCGAAATCGCGACTCGGTGTAAACAACGACGGCCGAAGGAAACATCGTATTCGTTGCGTCCGGGTATGGTTCGCTTTAGTAACGACTAAACATTAACGAATAAAGTTGTTGAAATTGTTACGATTATTGTGACGTTTGTGCTATTGGTTTTATTTTCTGCCCCTGTGATAAGACGATGTTCATCATTATTAGCTTAGATCGTAATTGTTATCGCGGTCGTATCGTTCGCAGTGCATGCGGTCACTGTCGTCCATTATCACAAAATCGTTTGGTAGCCTGGGAAACCCTGTACAATCTAAAATATACACTGTATTATTATTAAATTCATTTTTTTTTTTTTGCTCATTTCTACTCTTAATTAGCGAAAAACTACCTATCTTTTTCGAATAACGCAGATCTCTTGAACCGCGCCGTTCAAACGCGCGCGTTGATTTCGACAACAGTTCCGTATTTTCTCGTGTCCGTCTCATTTGCCGTGTTAGCGCGACACGTCCATCAGCAGGCCTCAGACAACCGCACGGTAAGAGTAACTTTTTTGTTTCGACGACCAAGAGTCGTTACCAAGCTACGTTCTCTGAGTGATGATGGTCGATAGATAGTAGAGGTTCGACGGACAACAGTTTTTTTTTTAAATGTATCCACGTGCCCTGTGTGTTATAGATTTGGTGATGAACAAAGACACTAATAGACGGATATTGGCGATCCAGGCGAAAAAGAAACGACGCAAACTGCCAAAGAAGCCACACGAAGATCGTAAAAACACGCTACCCAATGTGTCCAATAAGCCCCAAGAAAAGGCCAAAACCCATCTGAACCAGAGGGATAGTGATTCTTCATCAAATGAATCTGAAGAGGGTACCGATGAGATGTACGCTTCTGATGAGGAAGAACAAGAAGAGTCAAGCGACTATTGTAAAGGTGGTTACCATCCTGTCCAAATAGGAGATGTATTTTTTAATAGGTAAGTTATTTGGTTTTCTACTAAATTATGCATACTAAGTGGGTGCTAAATACTATTAAACTATGATACCTATACCTGGTAATAATTTTACCATAAACTAGAAATTTTCCATAGGGTAAATCACTAACAGAAATCTGTGTACAAATGTTTGGTGATTCTAAGAATTTTAAGTAATCTTACAGAAAATTATAGTATTCTGGAATCCCATGTACACAATATTAATTGATGATTAACCCTCTCTCTGACAATGTCAATTGAATTTGATTTCTGTTTTTTTTTTTTTACTCCCGTTCCTTATATCTGAAGTGAGTATTCACTTTGGATTTTTAAATACCAATTTCTGTTTCAATCACATATTCAAATAGACAATATTTTTCTAGACATTTTGATATGCACAACTCTAATATCATATTTATTGTTTATGAGTTATACGAGTTAAAAGCTTAGACTATATTAGTATGAAAGGGTAATAAATTGTATTATTTATTTTAAATTGTTAACATTTTTTGAAAATTGTAAAATTTGTTGCATTTTATAAATAATTTCATCAAAAATTTGATCGGAATCATATTTTATTAGCAATAGTTTATTATTATTAAAAAATATGTAGCTCTTAAATGTTACATTATTGTTAAACCACTACCCATTCTTAATTTCTATTTAGCAACCTATATTTAAAATGTTATTAATAGATTAGGTTTTAGTTAACTAAATATATTTTGATTTTGATGTTTTGAATTTCTGTTAACTCGTTGATGAAATACTCCACATTTAAGTTTCTGGTATTGTAGTTAGGGGAGAATAATGGAATATCATACATGGGGCGTTTGATTAGTGATTTTTACAGAGCATTTTATTCTGTAGATCTAATATTAAATTCAGACAATTTGTGATATAATGAAAATCTCAATAAAACTAATGAAACTTTTAGTCTCTTGAAAATCTTGTAATATAATAAAAAACTAAATGTATTTTTGTCCCATCAATATAACGAAGTTATTTTGGCCAAGGCTCTCGTGTTGTAACAAATTTATATAATTTTGGAACTTAATATTACAAATTTTTAATTTTAGATTCTGAAAGGATCAAAGAAACTTATAGTTTTACAAAGATGTTTAGTTTTTTTTCTGTGGACAACTTTTCTACCAGCAATTTTGCTCGGATTCCAAACAGTGGTTGCCCGGTCTTTATTAATATATATACTCAGTATGAGTCTTATATTATAAGATCCACATCTGTTGATGTTTAATGAATATCTATTTGTAGTGTATTGATTTAAATTTTGAATTTTTTTTAAATCTCAATATAACAAAATTTCATTATAACAATTTTTTCCTCAGTTCCTTGAAATTTATTATATATCGCGAGTAGATTGTATTATCATTTAATCTGAGTATTTGATATCTATTAAATTAATTCTTTTTTATTTTTTAACAGATATCATGTGTTAAGAAAGCTTGGATGGGGCCATTTTTCAACTGTTTGGCTATGTTGGGATTTTACAGATAAGCAATATGTTGCGCTTAAAGTGGTAAAAAGTGCATCTCATTTTACTGAAACTGCTTTAGATGAAATAAAACTTTTAAAAAGTGTTCGCGATTCTGATATTAGTGATAAAAAGCGAGAACGAGTAGTCATGTTATTAAATGATTTTAAAATTAGCGGTGTTAATGGCAATCACATATGCATGGTATTTGAAGTACTTGGTCATAATTTGTTAAAGTTGATTATTAAAAGTGATTACTCAGGTATACCAATACAAAATGTTAAAAATATCATACGGCAAGTTCTTGAGGGGTTAGATTATTTACATACAAAATGTAGAATAATACATACCGACATCAAACCTGAAAATGTATTATTATGTGTTGATGAGGTATATATTAAAAATTTGGCCAAAGAAGCGGCTGAAATTCATCAAACTGGACAAAAATTGCCTGTATCATTTAGTAGTACTGCACCAAAAAGTAATCTCAATAAACCTAATTTGACTAAAAATCAGAGGAAAAAAATGAAAAAGAAAGTAAAACGGCAATCTGAACTTCTTAAAGTTCATATGCAACAATTAGAAGAACTTGAAACAAAAAAAAGTGAAGATTCTGGAGGTGAAAACAGTAAAGGTTAGTATATTTAATTCAAATATGGCATTAATTTTCATGTTCTTATAATACCTAATTACTAACATGGATAAACCCCTAAAATTTGCTGCATGAATTTGGTTATATTCCTTAATTACTAACTTAAAAAGTTTAGAACTTATCTATGATATCAAATTGTAATTTACAATATAGTTTAATATTTTAAAATTCAATAATTTTAGAATTCAAGTCTAAGGGGAATTACAAAATACATTTTTATTCTTATCTAAATCATTCATATTTTAATTATCTCCAGGGTATCTCAGAAATATCTGTTATATTAATAATAAAAAAAAAAAAAAATGGGTTATATTTTAAATATGAGCAATTGATTTTAATTATTTGGTTTATATACTTTCAGTTGATGTCAAATATGAAAAATCAATACCAGTTGATGCAAATATTAGTGAATCTATATCTAATGGTTATAATAGTGACAGTTTAGATCTTCCGGCATATGAATTCAAAACAGAAAATGATCATAATTCAGATGAAACTAGTACAGTACATAAAAATGGAACTGGTGAATCGAGTAAAGACAGTAAGCCATTGTCAAAAAAACGATCATTTAGAAGTAAATCCCGAGAAAATATGACACCGGATCCAGCATTTAATGTGTGCGATATTAATGTTAAAGTAGCTGATCTTGGTAATGCATGTTGGATAGATCGTCATTTTACAGAAGATGTTCAAACTAGACAATATCGTTCGCTAGAAGTGTTAATCGGTGCCAAATATGGTACATCATCAGATATTTGGAGTGTTGCATGCATGGCATTTGAATTGGCAACTGGTGATTATTTATTTGAACCTCATTCAGGTGAAGCTTACTCCAGAGATGAAGATCACATTGCTCATATTATAGAGTTGTTAGGTAAGATTCCAACCAAAGTTATTGAAGAAGGAAAACAATCACCACAGTTTTTCAACAAACGAGGAGAATTACGCAATATAAGTAGTTTAAAACCATGGTATTTATATGATGTACTAAGAGAAAAGTACAAATGGCCCAAACCTGAAGCTAAGGCATTCACCAATTTTCTACTTCCCATGTTAGAGTTTGATCAACACGCTAGAGCTACAGCTGCTGAATGTTTACAACACGAATGGTTAAAATCTTAATACCTAGTAACTTTTAAATTGTTGATAATACCTTTGCTGATAATGTGTGTACTTGGTAACAGCTAATATTTTAAATATTTTATTTTTTATTTTCTAGCAAAAAATAAAAAAAATGTATTTTCTAATAAAGTCACAGTTAATTATGGATTCTGTATAATGTAAATAAGTATTATATATATATATATAATTTTAGGATAACAATACGTATAATATTATAATAGTTATTTCAAACAATTTATGCTAGATAATTTTAGCTCTATTGTATGTTTGAATGGTTTATTTGTAGTTTAAAAAAAAAAAAACTGATTTTATATGGCATGTTTTTTAAGTAAGCAAATAATTCCAATAATTTATTAAACAGTTGTGTTATTAATGAATGATTTTAGTTAAGATTGATTTGATTATTTCCCTTTATACTACCTGTACTTAGTATACAAAGGGATTTTTATGAATTAGTTAATAATAAATTGATATTGGTATTTAATATGTACAAGTACCTAATAACATCATAATATTTGTCCACTATGATCAATCGTTTTGGTTTTTTATTCCAAAATTAATTTGTTTTTACTTTAAAACTTTAATGGGGTTTAAAAAAAAAATTGTTCCTATTCACTCCAATGGTTAACGTGTAGTCAAAATAATATACTTTACTTAAACTGCTTAATTCCACATCCCTCAATAAGTTCTCATGTATTACTATTTATGTTTTTGGGAATGGAGTTGTTTTGTTTGTACATGATTTTTTTGAAAAAATTTACAGCATATAAAATATATATATTTATATATATGTATTTTATTTTTGTCATTATATTGTAACAAATTATTTATACTTTTTTTTTTCACAGTATCATTTATAAAAATTAGTATATATTAGTTTATTATGTGTCTATAAAAACCTTATTTGTTTTTTAAATGTATGAAATGTTATTAATAATAATGGTTTAAAATTAATTTTGTAATGAATTAAATGGTAGTAATTGCAAAATTATAACAAGTCATAGGGCTGCATTTGTATAATTTAATCTTAAAAATTACCAGTACCATAGCCAGGAAATTTTTTTGGGTTAGGGGCACTAAAAGTTTTGTTTGGAATAAAAAAAAAAATCAAAGGTGGTTATGAGCCCTTTCTGTTACGGCACTGTTAACTATCTATTATTTGTTTTATTACATATGGGTAATTTTTGTGTGTGTTTAAGAATAAACTCAAATTGGAATACCTATTTAGATAATATAATAAATACTAGCGTGTTCTTCAATTAACAAGTTTTATAATATGTACTGAGCCTTGTGAATGATTTTTTATCCTTTGTTAATTTAGTTACTTATGTGTAGTTACTTATTTGGTTACTATGGCCCATGAAGTGAGTTCTTCAAAATATTAAAGAAAAGCAAAATCTTGCTCTAATTAAAAATGATGAGAGCTTTCTTTTAGCATTTTTTCAAACCTAATTATTGCATTGAGGTTATTTTTTTTTACATTTTTCTATTAGTTGTTTTTAGTAGATAATTGGAGAAAAATGAAAAAGTTTATAGCAAAATTGATTTTATCATTTTAAATTTTGTTTTTTTGGTTTAAAATAATCAGATTTGAAATTTTCAAAACATTCTGACAACACTTAGAGTTGTACTTTATTGGCGTTAGTTTGTTATTTATAAATTAAATGAATTTGTATCCTACCTTTTTACCTATAACTGCGGTATATCTTTTAGAAATATCAGCTCTTTGTATTTGAGAACTAGTTCGAAAACTAATTGTTCACATCCGTCAACTTATTTGTGTTATTGTCTCCAAATTGAATTATAGTTAATAATACCACATTTGGTCCTTTGTAGCCAACCTAAATCGTGGCCTTCTGAGGCACGTATGTCCAGCACATTTTATTTATTTATAAACGGTCAATAAACTTAGAAGTGTAATGGTTTTAATATTTTTGTGCAACTTTAATGAAAATCACGAAGAAATCAGCTTGTTGCTTGTTTGTTATTTATAGTAGATTTATATCTAAAGATAAATAAATATTTCTTTCTACATTGCCTAATGTCTGTCATATATTTAAGTTTATCCTTTTACCATTTTCCAACTATTATATCACTATCATTATTTGTATATTAAGACAGGAAATATAACTTAAGCTTTTTAAAAAGGAAAAATGCTTGCCAATTACTAACAGACAGTTTCATTAAATGATGAATAATAGTAAATAAAGTATATAGAGTACTGCACTTCTGCTATTAACTCGCAAGGAACAGGATACGTTGTTTGAGATGTTATTCATCATAATTAATAGTGTAATGTAACAAACACTTTACAGACAGCATCACAAAATAAATTTATTTTGTCATAATCAAGTTGTTACTTGTTTGGTTCTTAACATTTGTAACAAAAATATTTTCTAGTGGGTATCAAACATAACTGTGTTCCTAGATTACTTAAAAAGCAATTTAAATTTCCCTTCTTATTTTATACAGACTTAGGGCTATTTAAATATTACATAAATACAATCAATAATTATATTACACAAATGCAAACCCTACTTAATACATTCATATAAATAGTATTGCTGCATTTCACTTTTTCGACAATTTTTATAAGGAAGCCAAATATTAATATAGATTAATATGTAGGTTATAACTAGGGCAGAGGACTTGTAGCTCTAAAAAAGCAATAAATATGCAAGCACTTATGCACTTAAAAACCCCATAATATGCACCTAAAATTTTTTTTTTTAAAGTATTTATAAAATAAATAGCTTTTAAAACAAGTCAAAACAATTATATNAAATTTATAATACGGCTAATAAGTCGGCACAATACGAATGTACATTCCGCAGAACTGACTGAGATTAAATATTAAAATATTGATTATTGTCGTTTCTAGAAACGTTTTATAAATAAAAATCCTAATCGAATAAACGTATACGTAAATAATCGTAAACGACCATCTACCTAGATAAAAATAATTCCAGCAAATTAATATTATTGCCTTATCGCCGATCGTCAAACCAAGCGCTTCTAGGAAAAACGTGTGCCCGTGGACATTCCAAACATTTTGACTGATTGTTTGTAATTAAAACATCGGTGTGGCAAATATTGATGTAAGTTAAATATGTCTCAAAAAATATAAAATGACGGATAAAAGTGTAAAATATGCACTATAAACGAAAAGGACTCAAAATATGCATTTATATGCGAAATAAAATTTCAAAACTAGCTTTTTTAAAGCATGAAACGTATTCGTTTTGTACTCTGCTATTTTCGTGACTGTGCAAAACAATTATGCAAATGCTACAAGTCCTCTGCCCTAGTTATAACAAAAAGTAGATGAATACAGTTGACCATTCACTGCTGGTTCTTAACAGAAAACTTTACAGCTGTTTAAAAATAATTTTATATTTGTTTTTATGGTAAAAAAACGTGTAGGTATGAATTTGAACTCCTTCCAAACCATTTATATTCTCAACGGTTAGATTATAGAATCATTTATTTTTAAAACAACTTGATTACAATAATTGTTTTTCTTGTGTTTATTTCAAGTAAATAAAAATGGTAGATATTTTCATGTATAATTTAAGTTGTCAATTATTTTACCAACAATATTGGTACCTAGAGGTATAATAAAAACAACAAATATTCGTTTTAAAATTATATTTTCTTAATTTATTAGATATTAATAATAATAATATTATATATATATATATATATATATATATATACATATATAATAAAAATATAAATAAGAAATAACAATAGGGAAAAACACAAAAAAAAAAAAAAAATGTCTAATACTGATAGTATGATAATAGCACTCAGTTAAGGATTTTATTTGTGTAGCTAACACGTATTAAGTTATATAAAACATACAACACTTATAGACAAGATGTAAAAAAAAATAATAAAAATAATGAACATTAAATAGGCGGGGGGGGGGGGGGGTAGCATGTGTCACGATTGGCAATTTGACATGAGCAACTAACTCAGGGTAAAACAAATTAAATGAAATTAACAATTTAATAGTAATAAAACAAAATTGCAATCACTTATTCTAATATTATAATTTATTTACAGATTAAATTTGTTTAACTTTTCATTTTTTTATACATACTTATGTGAGCTTTTGAAGTACCTAGGAATAGGAATAGTAAACTTATAACATTGAAAAACAACAACATGTAATGTATTTGTTTTACCCTTGTTATGTTTCACCATAATTGAAAAACTTATCTTATTAATGATGATAATAATAGAGCAAACAAAATGTTATTAATAATCATATTATTTGGACGGTAAATAAAAAAAAATTCCTTCCCTCCTCCATGTTTTTGTATTATTAAAATAAAAACATTGAAATATTTACACATTGAATAATTTAAAATCTATATAGGTTTATATATATATATATAAAAGGTGTTAGTAACTAAAACATTAATTATTTTGGTTAAGATCATTTATTATGATAACAATATACCAATATATAATTTTTTAATTTAAATATCAAGGAACGTCAAACAGAACATATCAGATCAACAGGCACAACAATAGATACAACAATGCCTAACATTTTTTTATAACTATATCCTAAACTCATCACAATGAGACATACAACTCTGAGAAAGCACAACACATAAAATTAATAAAAACTAAAATCTCCACTATAAGATCATTATATATATATATATATAAAATATAATTAATGTTTGGCACTTGTCCAACACATATTTGCAAAAAAAATAGACAATTTGCAAGTTTATAAAATATTGTGGGATGTAATGGGAGACTAGCCTACACCCCTCTGCAAGAAAGGAGTGCATTGTTGTTACTATTATTATGTTACAAACAATAAACAATGGCAGCAGTGGAGTAGAAATATTAACGAAGATTCTCCACTACTGTGCACCAGAAAAACCAGGGAAAAAGGGTACATTACATTGTATTTGAAAAAAAATTGACACCCAGTATAAATGTATAATCTCAAGTGCTGGATTTTTCTGTAACATTACTTGATGATGATGGTGCAGATGTAGATTTACATAGATTTAAAGTTAAACGCTGTTTAGTATGACAAAGTTCACCTAAAGTGGGCGAAAGTGGTTCCTTGGATGTTTTTGTATCACTAGAATCAACATCATCCATTTTCAATGACAGTATTTTACTTAACGTTTTAATGTCCATGTTATCCATCTCAGCTTTGGCCAGTTCTTCATCCAGAGTAACAGCACTTACAAATGAAATTGGTTCTGGTAAATCTTCTAATTTGGCAACTACACAAAAATAAAAATATAGGTAATTTAAAATTGAATTATTATACTAATTATTAGATTCATACTTAATTGTTTGGGTTTTAGTGGACTTATATCAGCTGCACTAGGTTCGAAAGTATCTTCATCATTTGATTTTTGACCAGGGAAAAATTGACTCTGATTTGTTTCAAATGGTTGATTAGAACTACTTATATAAAAATCATCATCATAAGTTGCTGTGAAAAAATTCAATCATTAATAAAAAAAAAAATAGTCTTATATATTTTATGAGTATGTTGTGTATACAAATTTTGTCTTACTCGATGGGAAATTGAAATTAGTTTCTTTGAAAAAGGTTTGAAGAGGACATGTTTCATCATCAATAAACGATGGACTTGTTTTTGGTGAATTTGTTCCCCAATCTGATAAAAAAGTTTAAATATTAATTTATTATGATGGCAAAAATATTTAAAATTTAAGTAAACAAAAGAATATATAGTGATGTAACAACTTACAAACACTGATTTTTAAGAACAATCAAACCTTTTCTTGAAATTAACAATCTCGAATACACAAAATTGTATTCAATCCCAGAACAAAACAAATAATTGAAATATTTTATAAAATCAGAACCAAACTTTAAAAAACTTAATATTGTATTTATTATTTTGGTATCATACCACAAAATTAATGATTAAATATTACCATATCAAATAATAAACAATGCAATTTATAATATGCATTATATTTTGTAACTGTATTAATACATTGTAACATAAATAAAAATCAATTAATAGTATTTAAATACTGTCACTCTTCAAAAAACTATTGGGAATTTAATTCAATTTTTGGAATTTGATTTTTGAACAGAATCAAACACATCGGGCTGTATTCAGTTTTACAATCAAACAGTTGGTAACATCGCAAAAAATATACAATATGAAAATTGAACTTACCAGAGAAGGATGCCAAATCAAAATAATTATTTGCTCGATCCCAAAGTTGTCCAAATTCTGAATCAAACGTTTCACTATCATCACGTGGATACTCATAAACACAATGATAATTCTGTTGTTTAAATGAAACAGATTTTTTGACACCCTAAAAGCATAATTTATATTTTATACACATTTTACAAGATTATTAAAGACTCAATAAAATATGCTCCATTTACTAACCAATTGTGAATTTGAACTACGCAGTGAAGTTTTACTGGGAGTTGCATTACAGTCCCAAGTGGAAGGAACAAACTCTACTTCGTCTTCTTCACTTACATCTTCAGATTTAATAGATTCATTATCATTACCTGTATTGTCTTTATCATTAGACAAATTAATTACAGTTTTTCTGTTAATCAACATATTATCATCTGATGGAATTGGTAATATTTTTTGAGATTTTTGTTTTTCATTTTCTATCCAAACTTTAAACTCTTTATCTTCAGTTATTGTTGAATTTGAGTCTAAACACTCCAAATTCTTCCAGCAATCATCGTCATAAACTGCTTGTGTTTTAAAATTTTTGTCAATATCGAGTTTTGTTAAATTTGGTTCGGAGACACTCATAACTGTTAATTCGTTAACAGTTGGCCAACTGTTATTATTGAAATTTATTGAATTTGGTAATGATGAAGAATGAAGGTCATTTTCACGAAATGTTTTAGAATTCAGAAACATTTTTAACCAAGTTGCGTTTTGTTTGTTATCAAACGAATCTAATTTTTCATTTGAACTACTCTGGTATGGAGAATTTAGTAGCTCCTCAATGCTTTTAATGGCGTTAGTTTCCTTGTCTAATGGTAAATCGTTATTACTGTATGTCGGCGAAATAAATTGATCAGATATTTCTGCAGACTCGGACGATGAATATGAAACTGCTGCAGCAGTTTTGCTAGTAGATCCAGGTGACAATGAATCTGGTGAATAAGATGCTACACTATCAGATTCCAAATTTTCTAATACATCGTCTGTATCAGAATTTGTTTCTTCAATAGTGTAAGTGTTGTTTAAAACTTTAATTTCTTGTTTTTCTGATACATCCGTGTCCAATATAATTGCTTCATTGGTTATAGTGTCAACAATTAAAACATCATCTTGAATGTTATCTAGTTCTGAAGAAGAATCTACAAGTTTTTCTCTACTGATGAAAAGATGATCGGAAGAGGTATCTGTTAGAATACATGAAGGACTAGGGTTTTCTGAAAACGTATCAATTACTTCTAGATCTTCGTCTTCATCTTCTTCAAATATTGTAGACAACAACGGGGGGTAAACATTATAGTGTATGACCATATCTGTACGATTGGTGTTTTCATCTTCCTTTTCATTTTCTTCCAGCGAACTGTTTGAGTTCCTTGAATCATTGTCATTCTGGTTAACTTTTCCTCTTAGTTCTTGTCTTATAGCTTCTGCATATTCTTCATCTAATGACAATTCTTTATCATCAATTTCGTCATCATGATTTATGGTATCTGGTAGCCAACCTGAAGCATTTTGATTTGGTGGATGCAAATACCAAGATTCTGATAAACCTTCGATAATGTCATCTATTTCATATTGACCTTTAACTTCACATTGTTTACTATCATCATCAGAAATTCCTTCAGATTTTTGTTGATTATTATTTTCATATAAATCATGAACCTTTATGACAGTTATTTCATTGTCATCTTCATCTTCAGACTTATCATTTAAAAATTCTGTACTGCCATCTTCACTAGTTATTTGTTCGATTTCACAACCAGAATCATCAGAGCCATTTTTTAATACAGCAATATTATTGTAGTAGTTATAAGATTCACTTGATTCATTGAATGTATAATTAGGAGTATTTAAACATTTATTTTCTAAAGGATCTTTGTTTGAAATATCTTCACAGTTTGTGTAATCAGAAGTATGCCCAGAGTCCGATTCTAACGTATTGTAGTTGGATTCTTTAACAGTATCCTCAAAAACTACAATTTTAGATTTCTCTTCAACATTTTTCACTTCAGATTCTTCTAAGATAGGTTTGCCAAAATCAAATATATTAGAATCCCATTTCATTGACTCATATGGATTAAATGTAAAACTGAAATTTTCAAATATTGAATTATCTAATTTATCATTAATTGGTTTTTCTGTCAGAGAGGACGTAACACCTTTATAATAATCTATTGTGAAATTTTCACATGGACCCAAGAGGACAGAAGAATTATTAGCAACTGTGGAACATTGAGTTGTATTAGGTAAAATGAATGGGTTATTTTTATTAGTTTTTTCCGAGGCTTCAATCTCTAAAAAAGGATTGGTACTATTTGTTTTTGTATCCTTTTTCACTTTCATACTATTATCAATTTGTATAGACAAATATGAAAGTGAATCATCATCTCTATTTTTTAAAGCTGTTTGAAACTTTTTTAAAGTATCTTGAAAATCATGGTCATCTTGTGCTTTTCTTAAATCACTGTCACTAGTAAATGTAAGACTATTTAAAAGTGGAACAGCCAAGCGATTGTTCTTGAAGCTATTTTGCCTAGATAATGAATTTAGCGGAGTATCACTTTCACTGCTTTCGCTAGCATCAATATGTGTCAAAACCATCAAATCTGCAACACTTTTTGATTTCTGTTTAACTTTTTCAGAAAATTCACCACGTTCAATTCTTAATCTCCAATGTTCATCTTCCGTATCTGTTCCGGACGACTCATTACCGGAACGTCTCCCCAGATATGAATTATCAGGATACGAATTTCCAAATAGCGGGCGGCTTATCTTATTACTGGCTATTGGACCAAGTCTAAAATTAACAACTGGAGGTGAACATTCAGGATCTGATGATGTAGGCTCCCCAGCTAAAGCTTCATCTAATTCTCTTATAGCATTATTTATGCCTTCCATAAATTGAATACTGTCATCTGTTCTTATCCAAGGATCATTAGATGCTGTCAGATCTTCCAATGATCCGTGCAATATTTCCAAAGATGGGGACTTTTTTGATTGATTTAATACATCAACGCCACTAGAAGCAGACGGTTGAGAACTTATGTCACTCATGTCGTCTGCGTATATTTGAACTTCACATGATTTTGGTCTATTAACAGAGCTCATTCCAGAGTCACTATCACTTTTAATAAAATCTTTAGAAAACATGGGACTAGAATTTGAAGAAATAGGATCAAAATTAGCTTTTAACATACTATATGTTTCTTCTAATGATGATATAATTTCTGGGAATGTGGGTCTTTTTGATGAATCACTATTCCAACACCGCAACATCACTTGATATCTAAATATAATTATTAACACTTGAATATAAAATTTTAAATACACAATGAATAAATTATTAATAGAAGTAGCTTACATTTGTTGAGAAAGTTTGTGATGTTTAGATGATGGAGGAAGTAACAGTGGTGTGCGTTCAATAAATACTGCAGATAAAACTGCTAAATCGCTAAGAGAACCATAAGGTTGAGCACCATTTTCCATTATTTCCCATATCACAACTCCGGCACTCCACACATTTCCTTCAACAGTTATCTATAAATAAAAAAAATGTACATATAATTTATTAATTGTATTATAAGCAAATATGATTTCAGGAAATAAAATAAGACAGGATAGAGGCTGTTTCCCACTGGCTATTCTTTATACTTATAACTTGAAATTGTGTTCACAAATTATATATAAATAAATATTTTCTGTTAATTTACCTTTTTAGTCTCAATGACTGATTCAGACACATTTAAAGTTTCAGGAGAACTCCATCTTATAGGAAGTGCTACTCCTTCTTCAGTGAAATAATAATCTTCCTTATACGTTTGAGTACTAACCCCATAATCACCAATTTTTACTACATTGTCAGAAAATACTAAAAAGTTTCTTGCAGCTACATCACTAAAATATAAATGAATTATTATTAACAACTAACACAAAAAGGTAGTGATAATAAATTATAAAGTATAATAAAAGAAATAGAATAAAAATAAAGAAATTAATTAATAATTATGTTTGATTTTTAATCATCTTAGAACTTAATACCAGACATAAATTACCCTGTATACAAAATGTATGTTAGATACTTTAAATGATTTAAAGAACAATGAAGTTTTCTAGGAATTTATTTATTTTTCAAAATTAAAACAGAATACATTTTAAATAATATAATTGTATAAATTTAAATATATCTTACGTGTGTACAACACCACTCTTTAAATATTGCAAAAGACCATTGACTACTTGAACAGACATTTTTAGTTTACGCTCCAATTGTGTTTCATATTCATTTGAATCTGCATTTTTACGGAGCCAAGCTTTTAAATCCCCCTATAATGTAATTAATAGTTAAAACAAAAACAACATAATATTTTTAGTATAATAATATTACTAACCCAAGGACTAGATTCAAATATCAATAACAATGGATCTACTTTTATACAAGCAGCTACAAGTCCTAGAACTAAGTGATTTCCATTTTTCACATTAATTTTATGGGGAGTAGCTTCTTGTAAGAATTTTAACTTTTCTGCATCGGTTGCGTCATCTTTTAGGATTCGAACTACTACTTTATTATTTTCACCTTGATTCAAACCAACCACTTCACCACTCACCACCTAAAAATATATTGAAATTTTAAAATTTTAAACAAATAAATATATTATTTTAATTACCCTTCCGAACCATCCAGACCCAAGTTCATGATGAAACTGTAACCTTGATCTAGGAAAATTTGAAAGTGAATCATCTGAAAAATACCAATTAAAATTAATAAATAATAAAAAATAATTTAAAAAGCGCCACATACTTTGAACCATGGCCATTTTTGTGGGTAGGAAGTTGGGAAGAAAAAGGATAAAGGGCAATTTAGTTCATAAACTGAAAACAAAAGTAAATCATTGCAATCAAAAAACAATTCTTAGTATAACTTGGTAAACTGGTAAAGTTATAATATAAGTTGTGTTATTGACAATAACGAAAAAAAAACTTATTTACCATTGTAACCAAGGTAACTCAGAAATCAATAAAAATAATTGAGAATTTCAAAAAAAATTTGCATATCCTAAGATACGGAATTAACAAATTAAAACATTTTTATTAACAGGAAAATAAGTTTCCCAAGGAAAAAGAAACCCAAATATAAGTAAAACTAATCTTTACATTTAGAATCTGAAAGTATTAAATAACTTGAATACTATTACTCTACTTACTTAGCCACTCTTTAAACAACGACTGATATTTAATTGATGGTGAAAGTTGTTCGATATTAATGACAGTAGAAGCTGATCTTGACAACTCGTTACTACGAAGATTGCTAATAGGGTTGACAAATGCCAATCCAGGAGTACTATAATCCCTCGTTGATAACACTTCATTTTGAAACTCCTTTAATAAAAGAGAAAATAATAATTAGAGAAAAAAATATAGGGAATATTGACAATATTATTCAAACCTGTGTTACAGTCGGTTCCTTTGGACGAAAAAGCAAAAACAAAAAAAAAAACAAAATTTATTTTAAGAACTTATTAGCTACTATACCTACATAGGGTATTATATATTTCTAATATTTTCCTTACTCGTAGTTTAGTTACCTAATAGGTATTTATTTGTTTATGGGAAAAATAAAATTTAACTAGATAAACATATGTTTTAGATTCAAAGCGATTTCAAAAATAAAATTTGCTCTGATGTATCAAGTGTAGCACCTCTTTTGAAAGGTAATTTTATCTAGTTGGTGTATAAGAGAGATTATTTTTTTGATTTTCCAAAGGGTTTTTAAATTAGTTGGGAAAAAAGGGAAACAAAATTATAGGTAAAACGGCGGAAAATATTTCAGGCGTGCTACGGCGTTACTGATTTAATTTTGTTTTTGAAAACTTTGTTTTCAAATAGAAATAATGCTTTAAATCAAAAAATGCCAAGTGACCTTATTTGTTGAATTTCAGATCTAGTTGATCATGAAGTAAGTCATTTTTTGATATTCATGCATTTTTTATAGTAATTAGGAAAAACCAAAAAAGATATAGAAAAACGAGAAAACGGAAATAATGCTTTGATTATTTTTAATTTTGTTTTTTTGTTGTTGTAATTCAGTTAAAAATATTCGTAGAGACTTGATTTTCTTTTGCTAGACGTAGTAAAATTTTAAAAACATTTGAACGATTATTAAGCTTTTTATAGGGTCATTTTATGTTTACGAGTTTTTTTACGTAGTTTGTATTGGGTAGGTATCGACTACGTGAATTGTTGGACGGAACAGAAATGCTTGAAAATTTAACAGTATGTTCATTATAAGTTACACTTAGTGGTTAAATATAAAAAAAAAAGTAGATTGTAATGTAATTTTTTTTTTTATAATGGTTTTCAGATCAAATTTTAACGAAAAATGTAAACATTACGGCCTTACGTATCATGTTTAAACGAACTTCAGAACCTAATCTTAGAATCGTTTTTTGCTAGCAACCGTTAATCGTTGCTTACAGATATAAATTTAATAACTTTAGGTATCCTACCTTCCCGACTTTTCACCTACAACAGTAGCGCACTCATCAGCAGTATCGGTTCTTTTTTTTTTATAATTATAAGTATTCGTGGTGCACCCCTAATTGGACTACATAATATTATTATTGTGAATATTATCGTTGAGCGTTTTACGCAAAGAAACGAAAACGTAACCGTATAGTGCCGCACTTTTATTGATATTATAACGATTTTTCGTGCATAATATTATAAAAATATAATATAATCCTGTGGCGCTGCTACTGCAGCAGTGTCTACTGTAATAGGTACCTACTACACCGGGTATATAATGTATAACATAGGAGAAGGTCGATGTTCTCTGTTTGACAATGAAACTCCGTATACATTGGTCATGGTTCAGTCTATAAGTACAGAAAATATATTACAAGATACACACACACACACACACACACACACACGCGCGCGCACACACGCACACACAACATATAGGTACACATGTACCTATATGTTGTATCGAACAATGAAACCTCCTCGTTTGATCCGATGCCAAAATCGTCTCGGCGAAATCGTATTATATTTTAATTACACGCTGTATTATTATCGCTACTGCACAATACTACAGTACTATGCCTATAATACTACTCATAGGAATTAATTGAAATCGAAAACGCTCACCTATCTATGTACAGGTATTATTTGGTACGAAAATGACTTTTCAAAAGAATAACTACCCGCCAGACTGTATCGTAGGAATTGTTATTATTTTAATAAATTGTTGTAAAATATTTCGAATTTATTACCATCGATATTGCGGTCGATCCCTGGCTTTTGGTTCTCGAGAAAACAAAAAAAATTTCAAAAAAAATCTAAATATTGAAACGAAAATATAATAATACAATATGTATCACTGAATGTATGTACCTACATGTAACAGTACATAATATAAAATATATGTACTAATTAAACTGTTAAACGAATGTAACCACTGGCCACCCGTAAAGAATAATTACACAATAACACATAGGTTCACACCTACTTCACGCCATTGATAGGAGGTACACGAGTAGATCACTATTTTATGAAGCAAGGTATATGGCATAGGAGTTATTTGATAAATATTTTGGAATATCACAGGCGACCTTTTACCTCTCGTAATTTTTATCTCCGGGATAAAATTTCGACAACGGTAACAAACGTTATTTCTGGAAATATGAAATCTGAACCCTGCAGGATAAAACCACCCAACCTAACCTTACGATGTTCATAATAGTTAATGCCTTGTAGGGTGGTCGTAATATGACCAGTAACCACTGTTTATATTTTATATTTTACAGCATTATACCCTTATACTAAACAAGAAGCTGGGAAATTGTATTTTAGAGAGAATTTTAGAAATTTCAGTTATTATATTAACAATAAACATAATATTAAATAACTATCAACAAAATCAACATAAAAAAAAAAATGAAATATATAAAATATAACCGAACAACAATAACTACACATTAGTCACCGACACAATTAAGAGCTACGGAAAACATTACGAGGTGGTATACAATTATTCACCCGTTATCATTGGTGAAATTTTACGCCCCGCAAAGGTGAAAATTATGAGGGGGGAAAATTCTGATAAAATTCTTCTAGGCAAAAACCAGAAGTCAACCCTGAATTATTAGGCAAATTATTCATTTGATATTCGCCAAAAGACTACACATAATACAGTGAAACCTCTGAATAGCGGATACCCTCGGTCGCCGAATTTTTGTTCGCTATTCGAAGGTATCCGTTATTCAGAGGGGTATATTTTTGAAATTCATAAAGTATAACGTGTAATATGAAAAAATTTGGACTTGTGTTAAATTAAATTATAATGTTGTTAACGTCTTTAGTCGTCGTATTCTTATCGTATCGTTGGATAACGAGTTTTTTTTTCAAAGAGTTCATTATCGTTAAGCTTGACGCTGTCGTCGTTTTGTCATTATTTTTAATAATAATCTACAGGACGATAGGTGTCCGCTATTCGTAATCTTATCGAGTTCGATATCGTTATTTCATTATTACGAGAGTAGTACATAACTAATGCGAATGCGTTTTTAATAGTTTAGTACCATCATTCATATTGTCGCTATTTTTAAACTAAGATTAAAATAGTGTCCGTTATTCGGAGGTTTCCCCATTGAAAAGTAGTGAAAATGTCCCCATTCCCAAAAAAAACGTCCGCTAATGGGAGGTGTCCGTCAGAGGAGGTTTCACTGTATTATGTTTCGTATGAAAGAATACAAGCGTTTATAATTTTTTTTTTTTCGTCTATCCACCATTTTTTGGTACGTACCTATTACTAGTATTAATAATAATAATAATAATAATAACCGAAACACTTGATAAAATAATATTTTCGAAATTCTGTCGCATTTGTGTTTGTATAACGATTGTATAGGAAAATGTCAATTAAAATTTCAATATTTAACAAACTAAGGGTACGATATATCCGTTAACGTATATCCTCGGCGATATTGGTAAATTTACTCACTTACGAATCTACTAAAAATAATAAAAACACAAGTACAGAGGTACAGAGATAAAAATATATAACATTGAACATAAAGTCAATTACCAGTAGGTTTTCGATTATACCGCGTTGCTTAAAATGTGTGAAACCTATTATTAGATTACCATTCTAACACCTAAACAAAATTACACCAAATAGGGTCACACGCAAGTAGGGGGGGGGGAAATCGGGTCCGGACCTCTCCCATTCTGCAAACCCTTTTGTAAATGTGCGCGTACAAATAATATTAGCGTTAACAACAATAATCTGTGGGTTATAAATTGAACCATAATTATTAAAGAACGAATAATATCAAAATGATGGACCCTCCCACCCCATGAACAATTTTTAGGTACACCCGCGACACTAAAGCAGATAAATAATATACAAAATACACCACAGCGGTGTTTACAAATATCAATCTTTTTTTTTTTTTTGTAAGTATTAGTTATCATGTTGGTTTAAAAACAGTTCCAAAAGGGACAATTTTAAATTTAGACGAATTCCGTTAAAATCTTTTTTTCTCACAGATTTCGTGAACTCAATAAAAACCACGTTTTATAAAACTATGCGGAAGTAGTAATGTTATCAGTATCTACTTAGACAGTAGTCACAAAATAGAACGAACACGTGTGTTAAAATAAAAACAAAAAAAAGTAAAAGTAACTAGGTATACCACGATTTTAAAATTATAATCGCCGTAACCGCATTAATGTGAACGAAATTTGGTTTACTATTATGTTCGAGTAATACTTGTGTATTTATAATAATTTGTATAATGCGGTAAAAAGAATAACCTTGAATTCATATTTTTTTTACCCACACATCATGCAATTACACGTTTTACATAATTAAATATAAAAATAATATCGACGTGAAAATATTACTTAAATTTTTCGTAAATAAAGAAAAAGTAATGCGAATTATGTAAATTACAGAACATTTTGAAGATTGTTAATTTGTCATAAAACGGTATACCCGTTTACATTTCATCATTTTCGACCTTCTAAAAATGTGTTTTCATTTCCATACTTTCAACGATTTTGTTTATTGCAAATATGCAAACGGTTATTTTTCTATAAGTACCTATCTTCTATCCGTAACTATTCTTAAAATATCAATAGACAAATGGCACGGATAAATTATTATCTACGATTAGGGCAGCTGTTGTTATAAAACTTAACAACATTTCAAATATTTCGTAAATCGAACAATTTTTTATGGAGAACAATCATTATTCAAATCGGAACTATTATTATAATAAAAATAGGCTTTGGCGTATCTTCCTAGAATTTCGTCCAGAATTTAAAATTTCATTAAAAACAAATTCCCCTTGATATTACCTATTTTACTTGTAGTAGATACCATTGATTGTAACAAGTCATACAATAATATACTAGTAAGTATAGTATTGTTTATAAACAGGGCTCGAGACTTTATGCGTCTAAAATCCACAAAAAAAGCGCCTAACAATATCAAAAAGGCCCTGAATTTTAAATTAAAAATGATAGAGGAGTTTAAAATTCTCAACCCCCCCCCCATCAAAACGGCTCTAACTATTGAATGCAATTTTCTACAAAACAATTCACGGAATTTTTTTTAAAAACTTGCGTTTATTATTTTTGCAGTGTTCAAAAATCGTATTTTATAAGTTCATTAGAGAGGAGACGACTTTTAAAAATATACTACCTTTTTTTTTTTTATTGACGTTTTTGATGGATTTTAAATGCACAAAGTCCGGGGAGCACTATTTATTAACAATGGTAGAACCTATGTCCTATACTATAGGTATGCAATTTTTGATTTTCATTCAATATTTATGCACGTCGAACAGATAGTATTTAACTCGTCGAATAATATTGAAACATTTAAAACGAAAAATAAATCTATTTGATTATTATTGAAGAATTTTTTTCTAATTAATAGGTAACTAATAAGTCCTACAGATAATTGTTCAGAAGAACAATATCAATTACCAATTATTATTATTATTATTATTATTATTATTATTTGAAAACAATATACACTGCATTTAAAATTCTATGACTAATATGTGGGACACGTCATTTTAGACAAATAATAATTAATAATTATACACAAATTATTAGTAGGTAGTTTTTAAAATAATAATTATACTTTTCGATGTCTGTGTTTAACTTGAAACGAAACCGTTTTATTAAACAGAGTAGGTACGATAAAGCAAAACATGTTTGTAGTTTGATGGCTGTGTTATAATTATTTTAATATACATGACGAATGGAATAGAGTCATTTTTAAAATAGGCGTTTATTATGGTTAAAATGAATATTATTTGTGACGTCGACCAGAATGACATAGTTGTATTCGACAATTTATTAATACGATCGGAACAAATCGTCATCAATTGTCGAAATATTTTATAATAATATTATACGGAATAATTCGAACGTGATATTTTTATGGAAACAAAACTATTGAATCATAATGCGTCCAAGTTAACCGACTTGAAAACGTTTCGTCTGAAAGTCTGTATTAATTACGTCATTATAGGAGGTGAGGGGAGGGGAAGTAATAGTCGCTTATTTGTAAATTACGATAGAAAATATTTATTTTTTTTTTATGATTATTGTTTGTACACCGATATACCACACACTTTAACCGCAAAATATTTCGAACGAAACATATCACATTATAATAATATACCATTTAGGTTAAAATATATAAACGCGTCTCTCTCTGGCTGTCGGACCAATTTCTATCACAATTTATTCTGGCTATCTAGATCTTCTGTAATTCACTCGGGATGCGTATAGAAAGTATACGAAACCGAATAATTTGGAAAACGTACGTGTATTGAAAATAAATAAAAATGTTTTATCAAAAGGATTTCGAAATGGACAATTTACAAAATTAGGCACCTATCTATTGACTGTCAAAAATAATAACATTATACATATTATTATATTAATCGATTCCGGTTTTTGCATTTTTGGGATAACGAAGAATAATGTTATAATATAAAACGCAATGGTCAGGTATTTGAATAGTCAAATATTCGCGATTGGTGTCAAGTATAACTGCACCGTTGAGATGCCGAAGAGTATTTGGTTCGTCTTTAGATTTACTTTTACAATCAGAATACATTTATTATTATTACATTATATTATTTATTATTATTTATTCAGAATTACAATTAGAATTACTTTTAAAATCCGCATAAAAAACCCATACAAAATGGTTTTCGTAGGTATTTTAATTTAATTTTAATAATATTATTATAATCGTATTCCAAATATAGAAATAATCCAAACACGATTTGTTGATTTAGATTGGTTTTCCGAAAAATATAAGTGACACACGAAGTTACAATTAATAAATCGTAGATATTTGTTTTCGATTTAAATAACCGTGGCGGGAAAAAATAGCTTTCAGAGTTACGTCATAAAATATATATATATTAAAAAAAAAGAACAAAACTATTGTAATACACTGTATGTCAAATGTGCGCATCTGATCCAATACAAATGAGGTGAACATAACTGTAATGGCCATCAGACTAGTGTTGGTTTTTTTTTTTTTTATATGGCTATTGCCAATGATATTCAATACACGAGCAATGGACGTTTTTCTATCCTCAACGGAAAATAATTCAACCACAAAATCGCCTACTAAAACACAATACCTAATTTTTGCGTTTAGCTGTATCTAACCAAACCATTATTGTAGGGTAAGGTAAAATAATAAACAATAGATAATTTTACCACGGCTATAAGAATTAGCCGAACACTATAGGTATAAATTAAACTATCTGTGTTTAAAACGTAGGTGCAATAGTTTTAAATTTGTAATCTTATTTCTAAATTTATTGAGTAATTACTATAGTAGAACCACGTAACTGATAAATGTCAAATAACAATAGATCACTTTCTTATGCTAAAGCAAATGGTATTTAAAAATAATGCTTAATAATGGAATCACTGTTCTACTTATTTAAGCATTGTAAAGTTGTCCACCGGCCAAAGTAATACACCCGGATAAGCAATATGAAATGCAATGTACTCTTTAGATACAATTATCAATGTTAAAATAAATAATAATATAATGCTTTGTTATTATGTGAAGAATTTACTATTATTAACAATTATTTTGAAATATAATTTGATTTATTGTAAACACGGATAACCTTACTTTAGATTCTGAAAAAAGAGAAAAAGAGAGACTGAGAGAATGACAGAGCATCGCTTTGTAAAATATTTTATTTTTAATACTTCTACATTTTGGATCAGTAAACACATTTAATATATTATGTTTTATTTACTTTTTTAAATTTGAACATAGGCAATAGATATTTTCGTAAACGATTTTTAAATTCAAATTTATTTGTTTGATCCATATAAAATTACAAAGCACTTAAAAATTATTAGAAAAATCATGACCCTGAATTAAATTTAAATTCTATTCTTCAGTCAGAAAAGTTTTTGAAGTACCAACGATACGATAATATAGCAGTGTTTATATTTAAAATAATTATATATACACCACTAGGCTGTGCATGCAGGCAACTAAAAAGATGTATAGAAATTTAGAAATTGTATTAATTTCAAATTTCCATTTTTTTTTTTTTATAATTTTATAATTTACACTTATAATTTAAGAAAAATGTGGGACGTATAATCAAATTTTGCATTTCAAAATACATTTATTTCCTTGGAATGGTATCAGACAGATTGCAAAAATAAAAGCTTGGCAAAAATTGAATATTAGTACTAGAAAAATAAGTTAAACATGGTCGGTCACCTGTAGACTATTGTCTATATAAAATTACAATTATTTACCTTAAAATTGAATCTACTATTTCGACAACAGTCCAAGCAGCCAATAAGGAAAATTACTATGCATATAGTAAAAAGAACAGCAACTATTGATGCTTCTAGCCACACATTAGCGCTGCTCCCCAACACGGTACTAGGATATTGATCTGAAAAAAATGTATAATACATGTAAGTATGGTGATTAGTAACGTTTTTAAAATTAATTCCACTAAACATTTGTAATAATTCTAACTCTAAATTAATCAATTTTTAAATTTAAATTTATAAATCACAATATTAATGTTATAATCAAATTTAATTATTAATAAGTCAAGTACTGAATCTAATATTTGCACTTTTATAACGTAGGGAAAATAGTGCAATAAGTACAAAATATCAGTGATATGACATACCTAATCGGGAAGTAATATTTTCTTGAATATACATTTTGAGAGAATATTTCCCATCCACACATGGTAATATAGTATAATTAAATTAAAAATGTTAGGTATATCTTAAAGCATTAACAGTTATAATTACTCATATAATTATTAATTTGATAAACATTTATAAATAAACATATTTTCAACCAAATAACAATTATAAAAGCATATAATAAAATATCTGATTACCTAATTAGTAATTAGACTATTTAAACACATGTAATAATAAACTAAATATTATTTGGTGAAATTAACATTAACAAATACTTATAAAAAAATTAATTTGATTTGTTAATTTATGAAAAATTAAAAAAATATTCTTAACAATATTGTATTTTGTGTTCCATAGGTATTAATAATTATTAGTACCTATGCATAAAATAACAATAGGCAAGTTTACAGAACTCACTACAAATAAGTAGAGATGGTTGTTTATTCAGGTGAGAAATTAACAAATAGTAGGTATTAAAAAAAAAAAAGTACAACCAAAATAGTTACTTTATGGGTTGGTCATTATATAAATGGTTTATATAGGTAGGTACTAAGTATTGATACTTATTAAATTAACTAGATGCAAATTACTGTACACGGCAACCAAATAATTTTCATAGTCTGTAGTATTTAGTTGTATAATATAGATTAAATAATTAAATAATTTATTGCTGTTATATCAGGCAGATCAATTATTATTGGTTTAAATTATATACCTATATTTTTGTAAGGGAAGAAATTTATAATAAATATACTCAACAATTAAGGTGATTTTAATTCATAGTAACTTCCTATTAAAATAAGAACTTTTAAATCATTTTTGATAAATGGCTATCAAATTTTTTCAAAAAATAATAATGAAAAATTTGAATTAATATAGCTACTAAAACATATACTTATTTTTTTAAATCTTTTCTGTTGGTACCTAAATGTTTATTTAGAGGTATACTTGAGAAAATTAAGTTATTTACCTATGCATTTTATTACATTTTTAAAACTTCATTCATATTATTTAGGTACCAATCCAACAATATTATTTATAATAATTTTATGAAATTTGAAAAGGTATACAAATTCATATGAAAATCAAATTACTACTAATAAATTTTCTATTTAAAAATTGAAATATTACTTATTTTGTAAGATCACCTACTTTTATACTTTTTTGGTTGAAATTTAGTTTAAATCTGGTTAAATCCAATATATCTACACTTAATTAATATACAAATATGAACATAAAATTGCCTTTTTAAATTTGTTTTTAATAAAATATAGTTATGTTGTAATCATTATTATTAACAAAATTAAATGCTATCTTAGTATTAAATCTGATATTTAATGTTTGAACTAAGAAAACCTTGAACAAATTACAACCACCTACTTGATTAGTATTGCCATTTAACAACACTGAACTAATAATAATATGTAAATTTGTATTTTAACCTAAACACAGCAATTTTACTATCTCAGATATTTATAATTAAATTATAAAGTGGGAATTCATAATTACAATCAAACATTATAAAAATAATTACCAGATAAATTATTGTAATGCCCAGAATATTACATTATTAGTATTTATTAGTGTTACTATTGATTATAGAATAGACTATTCTATAATTAATGGTATTACCTATACATATTTATGTAGATAGGTACCTATCAAATCAGTTTTAAAAAATAAAACCGTTAACTTTAATTAACGTAATAATATTCCAATTCGACTAATATTAGTAATGCATAATATTATATAATATGTAAATGACAAGCACAATTTTTTTTTTTTTTAGGTATATATTAAAAATCAACAAAATGGTTATTTATAAATTTCTCTTACACATAAATGTACATTTACATAAATATACATTTTTTTATTTATTTTTTCATAATTGTATTAAATATAAATCAAACTATTCCTCTACCCGACGAAGTGGTACAATTTTAGAGAATTTGTAGTGATATAGGAAACCCTAATGTTGGCTATGGTTAACAAACACTGAAAAAAAAACTATGTATTATAGCCAACAGACACAGTAAATGTGTTAACCTACTTTTTTTTCCTCGCATTGATAATTATTAGTTTTATGAGTAGGTAGGTACATTAAATTTTAAATATTCAGTGACATAACAGTATTAACATAGGTAGTATACAATTTAAAATAACACTATTTAAGAACTATTTTATTGAACAAATTATTAAATAGGTAATGGGTAGATTAACTATAGAAAACAAAACCTACCTAACTATATTATCAATCAAAATTTGACTTGTCCTGGATAAGACGCGTACTGGGTTCTATTTTTATACTGGTAAATTAAATGGGACCCATTTTTAAAATGTGTTAACCAAAATATGTTAATATATTATATGTAATCAAAAATCGCATTGTATGTGATAAAAAAATGAAAATGTGAAATTTATAAAAATAATAAAAAATACATTATTTGCTTAAAAAATTAAAAATTGCTTTATAAATAACAAAAAAGAAAATACAAAAATTAAGAAACTTGAATTGAAATTATTATGAAATTGAATCTTATTTATCTTGATCTCGATATCAATGAGATACCATAAACATTATACAAGCTCAAATTGATAAAGTTAAATGATCTACAGTTTGGTCGTAACACAGATTTGTACGGACTAAACGAACACTCCACTTCAACAGAGGTAATGGGTGCAATTTTTTATTTGCAATGTCCAAAGGAGTGAACTCAGTCTGTAATATTATCCCATTTATTCCGCAATGGATATCTGTAATTAACTTTTTTTAGTATTATTTTGTTTGAGTTGATTTTTTAACATGGGAAATTTTCCGTATTGAAAAATATATACAATTGTATAGAAATAATTCTATATGAACAAATTATCAAAATATGTAGGAAAAATTGGAATTATAGAGAAATATGTAAAAACATGTATTTATGGCATAACATGCAAGAATATGTAAAATCAAATATAGTTCATTACATTGAAAACACAAATTTATCACTTGCCTATATTAATTTATCCAGTCACAGTAAAAATATGTATTTACATATAAATCCGAGCCCTATTAATGATAATATCGTACAAAAATATCAGAATAATATAGATTTTGTTAATTGAATGTTCTTTTATCTAAAAATATAATAATATAATTGGTATGTTTACCTACCATTTCAAACAATCCTGGTAACAATTATAATTTACAAAATAATTAGATTATTAGTTTATGGTAAAGCAATACCTAATATAAACATAAAGAAATATAGAATTAAGAAAATTGAACCCGTTGACACATTTTGTGGTTAAGCACAGTGCATAGACTTAAAACCCAAATATAGAGGTAAATAGTCTCGTAAATAGTTAAATAAATTTTATCGAACTAATACAAGGACTTATAATTTTTAAATAAGCAGTTGACTATAAAAATAAAATTATTTTAGGGTAAAAAACAAACAGGTATAAAAGCCAGAGAGAAAATCATTAACAGAAATCAACGAGGACATCGGTGTACAAATAACAAATGTTTTGTAATCTCACAGGAAATCTCGGTAATCGTTGGGGAAATCATGATATTTTGAAATATGGTGTACACACTATTTATAAGAAATTTACCCGATTGATTTCCTTATGATTACCAAGATTTCCAGTAAGATTACCAAAGATTAGTACAATGATTTACCCTCCGATAAAAGCCTAGCAAAAAGATATCAATTCAATTTTGTTCTAACGGTACCTATTTAGTAGGTTTCGTATTTTATGAGTATTTTTAACTGTTTGAAATAAATGATTGGGAAACAAATTCATTAATGGAAATAGCTCTCGACAATAATTTTAACACATAGTGAAACCAAACAATTTTGTTTTTTATGTCAAAACTATTATGACAATTGGTAGGTTGGCATTAGATTATTTCACTTTTAAAACGGTTTGATGTATTGCAATATTTACCTACTTATGGACTTAATATTTTAACAATACATACAATTCGAAAAATATTAATTGTTCCGAGAATGTAAATCAATTAACCTGTGCTATTAAACGAATATTAAGATGTGTGTTACGTAACACATGGAGATTTATATAGCAAATTATAGAAGACGTGTTATAAAAGGGGGTATAAAAGTATGACGAGTCCAACGGGCAAATTATCCAAGTATCCAAATTAATGATTTTCAATCTTAACGATAAAACTTTTGTAGAATAGCCAATGGAACTTAGGTAAGTAGGTAAGTGCCTTATTTTTTTGTTGCGCTAACAATGACCACTAAACCAGAGAGTATCCGAACGTAAAGAATTTACTACCTGCCCACTAAACTGTATAATTATGGACGAGAACCTATTCAACTAGAAGTGTACTAGAAACTATTTAATAGATATGCGTATTTTTATCACCTCCGATGGGGAACTGCACCGAGGATTCGATCCAGGTCGAAATCAAACCCAGCCACAGAAACGGGACGGCAGAATTGCGTTCCATTTTTAGCACTGGCGCGCGTTCCGAGCCTTGTCCATTTCTCTAGTACTCACTGCGCGGACAAAATTATTGCTGATGCTATTGCAGTTTTTGCGGGTTTTGGTTGAGCCGCAGACACGGAGAGCAGCCGCGTAAATTTCATCTGGACGTTGGCGACTGGCAGCCAAACATATTTTTCACGCGCGCACCACTGTCGCACCACACACGCGACCGTGTTCTGATCCGAATTTTCCGCGTCCAGACGGAAAATATGTTTACATTTTCAGCGTTCGAAAATATATTATACCCGTACCCGTACGCACGGATAATCAGTACCTAACCGAATTGCGGGTATCAATTAACGAAATATTTCGACGATAGGCGAATTGTAGAGAGGAAAAATTAAATAACGAAAGAAAAATAGGTGTTGAAGACGAAACTCCGATTATCAGGGGCTACCGGAAATGCACGAAGTTTTCCCCGTACGGTACGAATCGCGAAACGAAAACATGACTCACTGCCGTGCGATTGCAACTACTGCGCGAATCGTCGGTAAGGTGTGTCTGCCCCGATGGGAGGGGACGAGATTCGCGAGTTGCGAATGCGGAATGATCATCGGACGACAAAACCGTGATAACGTAGCCGTCGACGACCGCGAAAACCCGTAAAAATATTAAAAAATAGAATGGTAAAAAAGTTGTAACCATCAGCCGTGGTGTTATTCTATCTGTAACCGTGGCGGTAACATAGATAATTATACGTATATATTATCTACGGGTGGTAACCATTGTTGCGTCGATCGAGTGATAACGCATTATCGTACCACGCAATTCGGAGTGATAATATTAGTGACAATTGTTCCTACAAGATAGCGTTTGATGATACATTTTATATTATAAGAAATATTATTTGCCTGCTAATGAAGTACGGACATCGACAAGAAATTCGTTGGTACATTGTTGAAGTATAATTGTTAGTGTCCCACTCCCTCCGGGAAAATCGTCCGGAACCAACACTAGGTACTACAAACCGGTGTTGATTTTTCTGCACCGTCGCATGCATATGGTGCAAACTATTTACGTCGGTTTCATCCCCTCCCATTTGCCCCTCGAAATAATAAACTAACAGAAAAATGATTATAATAATAATTTAATTGATAACAACTAATGCCTACAAAAAATTAATTTGTATTCAGTACTTATTAGCGGTAAACGGAAAGTATAGTTTAGGTTATACACTAATAATTTAAATAATTGATAAATATTTAATTGTAAATAATATTAATTTTTAATTTTGAACATTGGTGGGGATACACCGATTTCAATTGTCGAATTTCTATACCGGTGTAAAATATTCGGTGTCAAGTGTTTGTAAACCGGTACAAAATGTATCGGTACACCGGTTTGTACAAACGAATTTCTAACGAGTGCCCGAATCACGACAATAATTATTATTTTTTTTTAATCTATGATTTTAATTCTGAAGAAATTAACAGGTATTAAACATCTGAGCTTAGTAACCGCTACCTATCAGCTACTGGCATAAGGGGCTCAGTCTTCCGGGCTCTTATTTAAAAAAAATATTAATATCTGCCACGTATGTACACAATAAATATTAACTTTATTTTCAACATGCCAAATATATCTAGTTTATTTTTACATAATTTTCAACAAATTAATTGAGAAAGATAACATTTTTTGAGCCACGTTGGGTTTTATGTTCATTGTTCGTTGTTGTATAAAGAACAATTTAAGGACAATAATAATTTCTATTGTTTTATTAAAGAGGGATGAAAAATATATTTTGCCCCGGGCCGCTTTAACCTTTTCACTGCCGCATACTTTAAAATTTGTATACACTCTCAGGCCGCAATATTTTAGATATTCAGCGGAGGGAGGAATGTGTTGGTTTTACAATGATGTTTATTTTAATTTTAATTTTTTTTATCTGAACAAGTTTTTACTAGCAATTTTTCTCCAATTTTCAAGTGTAGCACTTTTTCTGAAAGAAAATCTGACTGGGGTGGTACTTTAAGAAGGTAATTTTCTGATTTTCCCAGGTGTATTCTTAATATATGGGAAAAACTAGAAAAAAACACGGAAAAAACGTAGGAAAAACGGGAAAACTTACGAAACGCATATTTTGTTTTTTTTTTCTGATTCAGTAAAAAATATTTCTAGTGACTTGAAGTTTGGACAGAAAATTTATATTTGCTTTTCTAGATGTGGTAAAATTTGTAAAACATTGTAGCTATTTTTGATCTATTTAAAGACATTTTAATTTTACGAAGTTTTTTAAGTAATTTTCGTTCTGTAGGTACTTTGTGGATAAAATTGTTAGACCGAACAGAAATGCTAAACAATTTAACAGGAAGTTCATTATAAGTCGTATCTACTTTGTGGCCAAAAAAAAAAAAAATTAGTGTAATGTAGAATTTTGTCTATAAGAATTGTAATATCAAAGTTTGAAACCAACGCTATTAACCAAACTCTGCTCTGAATCGTTTTTTGTTAGCATTAGTTAATCGTTGGGTACAGATCTATCTTCCCAACTTCTCATTTACAACATTGACTACTTGAAATTTTAATATTTTCGTCAACCTATTCAATAAATTCTCTGAACTTATTTTTATCATTAAAAAAAAAAATAATAATAATAATAATTATTAGTCAGATACGTTTATATTAGTTTGATACGTCTATGGAAATACTATAAATTAGCTGTTATCATTTTTTTTTTTTTGTCAGATAATCAAATTTTAATATAAACGAGTAAACACTTAATATATGCGTCAACGGCTTGTCAATGTAGTCTGTAACAAACACATATGTGCGTCAACGGCAGCTACGCCATTGACAAAATTATTTTTATACTTACGACGATATTCTATCAGTCCGTAACAAATAAAATACGAAACAGTATCCAACAACTGATACATTATAAATTATAAACCACTAAAATACTACACTTCCCTCACCCCTCGTGGGAATGCAGTTCGTCTCTCGTAAGTGCGTTCAATCTGCTTCCAATGATTAATAATGCCCAACAATATCATTCGAGTCTGCAGCTTTGCAACAGCGCGAATCATACTCAGATTCTTCACCCTGATTTTTCATCTCGTGAATTTTTAACCACTCGTTCGTGTGTAGCGGCAATTCTTATATTTAAATTTATTTTCTTACTTTCGGGCGGATTTAAAGCCATAATATATTTCACGGTATATCATTACCCACGTTCCCCTTCCGTTTTAAAAAGGACAAGAAAACATTTGTTTTACTTCCGTCTCGTTGGTAAAGTATGTTCTTTAAGAATACGAATACCTACCTATATATTATACACTCTTAAAATTTTGACGATCGACGCCCTTGTGGTCCCTTCCGTAATTTATTAATCTTCTTTATAACACGCATTGTATACAGGGCGAGTATATTTTTACCGTGAACAATCATCGATTATATATCTAAAAAGATTTCGTGTACGGTTTTTTTGTTTTTTTTTTCAGATATATGTTATATTCTGAAGAAAAAATTCTGAATACAAATTCTTCTATATTATGATGCATTATATAATACTCATAATATCGCATCGTTTAGGGGCAAGATTATGATCATAGAGTTTGGAGAAAAATCCGCCGTTCGTCAATTTATTACACTCTAACTACTCGTTGCTAGAGTTCTGCAAAGAAAGTTTTAAGCGGGAAAAATGTTTATTTAATGTTCTGGTGTACGACATTCGCATCCTTAAGTCGACTGAAAGATGCTATAGTAAATTTAGGTACTCGTAGATATAAATTTAATTCCATATTTCAGTGAATCGAATATGACAAAGTTAATCTGTGTAGTTCGCTAGAGGGATTTATTCATGATCCCTTAGTAACCTCTAGGTTAATGTGTCTTTGAAAAGTGCGGCCTGGCTTCACTCGTCCTCTAAATGTTATTTTTGAGTCTAAAGAAAAAGCAGCCAAGTTGTTAGTGACGTAAAATGATGTCGAAGTATCGTGGTCGTATATTTCCTCAAAACTTTCGGATTGTCATAGATAAGAACTAACTTCAGTATACATTTTTTAGACCGTATAACAATACTCATGAACTTGACTACATGGAAAAAATGAGGGTATTAGGTTTCAGGTCTATACGATTTTTTAAACGGAATTACTTGTTTTTTTTATAAATGCTTGTAAATTGTAATTATAGGACTATAAACTAAAGTTATTTAGTTATTTATTTTATAGTTCTATGATTGTAATACAGAAATATGTTATAAATATTGGTATTTCCTTATTCCCTACACCGTAAATTCATAAGAACTTTAAGAATTTTTTTCAAACCTTCCTCTATACCTTCGGTCTATAAAATTTTAAATTGTATTGTAAATTTAAAATCTGCAGTGGTGTTCTCATACATTTTTGCGAAGATATATTATTCCATTCGACGGTTATTAACGACGATATTTAACAACGTCAATTGAAAAAATCCGTAACTACCAAACATAAAATAACGAGAAATTGATAAGTACCTACACATAATAATACGGGACACTCGATGATAAATAGAACTGCCTACGAAATCTAAAGTCCTGATAATTCTCGATAAAAATAAAATATTATTATAATAGTTATTATAATCTACGCCGTAAATTTGTTAGGTAGGCAACTAATATGTCTGTTGGTTGCCGAGTTGTGTCGCGATTTTTAACGCATTATTATTATGGTAATTATAGGTACACGTTTATCGTGCTCCGAGCAACGTAATCTGATCCTCAAGCAATGATAACAATTATTACGTTTATTATTATTATTATTTTACCTATATAATGTATATATTATTATCATATTAAACGCAGACACGTTGTAGTCTGGTAATTTTTCAAAAAAATATTAAGAGTATACGGCGTATAATGTGCAGTAGTATTATTCTATGGGAACACTGTATTATGTAAGACCATTTTAAACGCTAATATAGGGTTCGGATAATGACCGAAAATATTGTACTGCAAGTCGTAAGACTGAAAAACAAAATCAAGATCAAATTTACTTGAAATCTTCGTGGACCATAATAAAAGAGTATATACATAATATATAATATACTATATATTCGCTATGTAAGAACAAAAAAAAAAAAAAAAAACCATTTGAAAAGTACCTAATATTGTTACCACTCGGGGGCACGTGCCGTTGTTTGTGGCTAGCGGTGGCTACAAACCCAATTTTCCGGGTTCACGGACGTTTTTTCGAGGTCGTGAAATTATTTATAGGAGAAATGTTTTTTTAAACGCAATGACTAGAAAAAAAAAACGATTTTTAATTAGAAATTGCTTAGGCTGATAGGTTCGTCCAAACTGTACATAATATTCTAGTTAATAATGTAAATACACATGGCCCCAATATAGTGTTCATTAACGCATGGACGTATAAATAGGTATATGATTTAACAATTGGGGAGGGGGGAATGATAGATGCCTACCGCACTAATAAACCGTTGCACACAATGTCTAACTGGCAATTTATTACCTATTGAACGCGATATTATTCATTAAAATAAAATCCCGGTATTCTATAAGCCTCTCCCACCATGTCGCTATCTCGTACTTACCGAAAATACCTTTATATGCATATAGTTGAAATACCCTTTGTTCTCTAATGATTTTCTAGCCACCGGCTAAGGGTTTTTGTATATTGTCTTTTGTTTTTTTTTTTTTATTACAGAACGAAACTATTGATTTTTTTCTTCTGTAAGTATAAATTTTAAAAAGACAAGCCGAGGCTGTTTTTACGAAATTTTAGACCAATTAACTAAAGTAAAATTCTCATAATACCACTCGCCAATTTTAATATTGTAAACATATTTAAATTCTTTGATTTCTTATCTATGTTTATAGGAAACATTTTTAGGTTTTTTTTTATTTACTTAATTTAGTTAAAATACATAATGATAAAGTACCTTTTTTAAAATGAAAAACTTCAAATTGCATTTAATCGTCTTAAAATAATAATTTCATATGTATTACGGCGTCGTTAAATACAAATTAACTCCTTGTCAAAGGTAGGAATAAGGTGGGTATAAATTATAATAGGTATACGAAAAGCTTATTTCCCTAACTAACATTTTTTAGCCACCATTAATGAAATTAAAATGGACATCCTAAAGATATTCACTTTGGCCAGCATTCTAAACAGCGTTCTCATAAGTGTCCCATTTCTTTCTCAACAATTTATCTAAATGTACAATAAAATGTAAAGCAGTTCTAATAGTCACTTTAGGATGTTCATATTGATTTTTTCATTAATAAAAAAAATTAAAATAATTGTGATGACAGTTGTACTGGGCTCACCATATGTTACAAAATGCCAGTCATTCTGGCACCTACGATTTGAAATTTGAATACCAAACCAATGAAATTTTTTACTGAAACTTAAAAGTAAAATATAACGATACTAGGTTGACGGAAATTAAACATTTCAACACCAAAATGTATTTCAACTATATTACTTCTATTTATGGAATTTTCAATATAGGTGGGAATTTGAAAATTATAAGTAAGTAGTTCACCCTCAAAATTAAAGGTGATCAAAAATAATGTAATACTTTAGAGATGCTTGTTACTTAAAATTAGAGTTAGAGTTAGAACGATAGAGTTTTCTATACCAATAGTTTAATATTGACTTTTTGCATTGGCTTATGATTATTTAATATATTGAATGACCAGGACATTCGATGAGTCCGGGACGGCCGGGATCAAAGTTATAAACCGGTGATATGTCCCAGTGTACCGGGATCATATTCTAGAAATTAAATTATCATTATTGTTGGTCCTCTGAATTTCGGGTTTTTATAATATTATTGATGATATAAATAATAAAATTGTGGTTTTTAAATTTGAATTAATTATAACTTATAACTATTTAGACTAAATTCCCGATGAACGTGCCAAAATAATGCAAAAATAACCTCGTACTAATCCCAATTAATTTACGAGTAGGTTATTTGAAGATTTTGGAAAATGCAAACGCATTATTATTTTATCCGAATAAGAATATTATTAAGCAGGTGTATTTTTTAGACCACTCAAAGTCCTTCATTAATTTTCCGATGATTAATTCGATAAGTAAAACGTTTTTTTTATGATCAGTTTTTTTTTGTTATTGTTATGTTAGCTTTTAAAGTGAATTGATGGTAGGTACTTAATTAATAATTTTTACTAGTCTCCCCTGAATCAGGTCTAAGTGTAACTGCAGTACTTGTAGCCTATATGCAATCTGTTTAATTTATAGGATGAATTAATTATATGCATACGTCATTTTGGGTGTGAAGTAGAGACTATAAACTATATGTAAACTATTTATTACCCCAAAACCTACTTTAGCTATTATTTATGTAAAAAAAAATAATAATATAATATCCTACTTATCAAGGTAACATACGAACATTGTATTCGATTCAGTTACCTAAACATAATTTGTAATTTGTGGGGTATGGAGAGGGTGATTGTAAAGGGAATTGGTTTAAGGATCAACATATAGGAAATTAGAAAGTTGAAATGCTTTTTACCGAGAGGTTTCCGGCATGCATCATTGTACTTGAAAGTCGGCTTCAGGAAAGGTTTATGTTTCCTTTTGAAAACTGAGTTTTTAACAACTAAAGCTGTTAAGAAAAATATCAAAACGAACTTTGACAAAAAATAAAAATATATTTTTAGAGTTTGGAAATTTTTTAATGACTTCTCTTCCACAAACTAAATTCCTAAATATAAATATACCAAGATATCTTACCTAACCTAACGGCTAACTTAACCTAAGTATTGTATGCCATTTCGATAATATTCTGCGCTGTATTCCATTATTTATTTTGCCAAGTGTACACTCTACCTGATTAATGTAAGAAAAAAATTGAGTAGGTATATTGTATTGAAATAGATATTTTATGGTTGTTACCACACTTGGAATAGTTATGGGATTTGAAATTGGTCAGAGAAAGTCAGGGAAATCAAGGGTTTTATAATTTCTTTCTGGAATTAAAAAAAAAAAAAACCTAATATGAAACTTTCATTATTGAACTATCATTATCATGATTAATCAGATTAATACTATTGATTAAATAGGTTGGGGCAGCCAGGTGTGGATCCAGGGGGCTCCCTTCAAATTCCGTGCCATAGTACAACAGTTATCGACACTACGGCTTTTGCTTATTGGCCTTGATAATAGGAAATCTTTTTTTATGACCTTTTTTTTTTTTTTGCTCATCACATTTTTAGAATGTGTTATTTTATTTTTATCTAATTTTGAAGAATTTTTGGATTCACCCTAAGTGCAATCGTTTACATATTATATTTTAATAGACTTGTTAAAAAATATTATTATTAATATGTTTGTTTTTATTATCGTTATAATTTTCTAATGATGTTTTTCTATCTATTATTTAATAATAATTAGTCCGGTAGAGTTCAAGCGTTGGTCTAAAGAAGGTATAAATGATAAACATTCTTTCCATTGTATTCTTAAGGCCGATAATTTTTTTTTTTAATTTTAAGGTTGAGATTGAATTTTAACGGAGATGGTAAATTAAAAAAAAATAGCCTAGAAAACATGGAAAAGTCAGGAAATTTATCAACTTGAAAATTGTGGCAACCATGTAATTTTACATTGCGCAAAATGTTTAAGCACTGCATCACAATGTGTGCCTTTCCTATACCTACTTTTACTATAACATTTATAATTGTATTTATTTTTTATCACACACCGGAAGAGTTCACATATTATATAAGAAAATTTTACTTGAAATTATAATAATATTATAAATGTTTGTTGAGTAAATTGTAAAAGTATTATCATATATTCGACATTATTTAAAAATAATTGTAATAATCTAACAATATTATTATATTGGAGATTAAACAACATAAAAATCGATTTAGAACATTTCATTGAAAATATTATTTTTAATATTTATCACATCTGTTAAAATTATTTATAATTATATAAAACATAGTACAGCAAACCTTATAAATGTGTAAAATACATTTGCACTGTTGTTATTTTATACTTAAAGATTATTAAGTATATCTAAAATATAAATACCTTTTATATTTTGTTTTGTCTAAGTTGAAAATAATTAAATATTTGTAATTTCTTAAATCATACAAATGTAGGTAAAAATAAATTATATTTAATACATATACATACTTTTTTTTTTTTTATAAATTTTATTTACATTACATAATAATAAGAATACATTTAATAAATATTATGTACTATTTGGATATTATAAACGTTAAATTAATCGAGTATTTATTCAGGAACTCCCCAAAAGAAAATTGTCAATGTCTATAAATAATAACTTTACAATATAAAAACATATTTGTGTACATATATTAAATAATAAGATAGGTAAGTATACAAAATAAAATAATGGCGTGGTTTTGGTGTGTTTGATTCGTTTTGAAGGATAATAGGTATAAATAATTTAAGGATTCTTGTACTATACAGGTATATCATATAGATATTAAGTGTAATGTCATTGGAACTGTATACGAGCTTGTAAGTAGTACCTGCATACTACCATTACAACCTACATAACAAATTACCATGCCAAAAAAATTCGCTTTATAATCATCCAGATCAGCATTATGAGTCCTACATAAACGGCACCTTTGAAAATCATATGACAGATAAACAGCCTATAAAAGACGAACACAATTATTAGTATTAGGTAGGCATATTGTTTTTTCATATTATTATACATAACACTTTATCAATTATAATAGTAATATTTATTAATATGCAAAATAAATAAATACTTGAATAAATTATACATTTATTATAGATACACAATATATTATTATGGGATAATTATTATAGGATATTATTTACATGGATTTATAGATTCATAAGTATAAATTTAAATAGTTTATCGAATAAAAATGTGCGTATTAGTTCTGTATTCACGTATAACTATATTACATCCATATGTTTTCAGTATGACAAAAATTCAAAAATCACGAAATCAGTAAAATTAAACTAATTTAAATAGTTTAATAATGTATTTTGACGAATCGCAAAACTTAACAAGACTTTAAATTTGATATGCATACCGAAGATAATGAATTGTAGTATTGTTAAAGGGTGAATTTAAGCAATCGATGCATATTATAATTTATAGCTACACCTATCTATGCAGACACACAGTAGACGATTATTACTGCAGTTTAATAATATTATAACATAACATACTTTCTATGTCGTTTCTTAGCCGCCGGCAATGTTTCCGTTCCTTCTTTGAGTAAAAATGTCATTATCCCTTTGTGGTACGTATCTAAGTAGTCTACCCAATTCATTTGTTTAATATCGAACGGAAATAATACTTGATCGCCTTTGCCCATCGTTCCCCATAAATGCTGTACGTTTTCATTAGAAAACTTCCATTCTTGGGTAGAGAAAAATTCTAATATATCGGTAAATCGTTCGATTTTTTTGTATTGATCGACCAACCTGAACAATATTTTACATATAAATATAAATGGTATTTAAAATTAATTTTCATGATAAGAAAAAAAAAATGCAGATATTGTCATTGCGATTATAAATTATTACGAACCTTAGTTTTTTTCCCGAAACAATAAACACTAAATCTAATAGGAACGCTGGTAGATAGTGCAATATCAGTACGGTGAATTTGTGTAAAAAAATTGACGAATTCATTATCAACGTCGGATACCACATGGCTTTGATTGTTGGTCGTTTCATGATACAGCTCATTAGAATTTCCGAAAATATTTTCCAAGTAAGGGGGTTTTCGGACGACGATATGAAATTATAGACGCACGGGTCGTCTTTATATTTGCTAATCAATTTACAATCGGCTATGTGTCTGGAAAGTATCAAAGAAAAAAAGAAAAACACGATAAGTTTGATGAAAAAATATCTATAAACTGTTTTCCAGTTATATATATAATACCTGACGTTTGTGTCCCACGATGCGGCTATTAATGCGTTTACAGTCAAATCGGCTGGAATTAAATCCGTGACAGCGTTCAGTTCACATGGCAGTGCTTTTATTATCCCTGTCATCACGCCAGTCACGATGCCCGTTGGCCCATACAAATTGTCAATCCAACCAGGCAAAGGTTCGTTGGCCGTCGCTATTACTATAAATTAATAATTATAATCGTTATATTATGGACAAAATGAAAATGAAAATTAAATTTGTATAATATAACATCGTTTATTTTTGCATTTAAATAGATTTTGAATCAAATCCGTTTTCTTGAGTAATTTTCAAAGTTTGGTACCTACCAATTGCCGGACGGAATATTGTGATAGGCAAGCCCTTGGCTTCGTGCTTGACCAATTGTTCAGCAGCTGCTTTCGTCATTACGTAAGTGTTTGGCATGGGACCTAAAAGGCTGAATTCCAATAATAATAATATTATTGTATAGGGTTTTGTCATTTTGTATTCGAGAAATACAATAAAAACATGTTAATAGGTATATTGCCAAGACAAAATACTCATTATTCATTTAGATTATATTTTATACTTTAGTAAAAAAATGAAATTATATCAACTGCCATTACGAGACAAAGAATGTTTAAAATAAATAAAGGACAAGGTATAAGATACATCGCTTTAAGGAGAGATACTTACTTGATTATAAAACGTAAAGGTAGGTACTTACAAAGGTTTCATTTTTTCAAGTATATTCCAACTCTTCGTTTTGTAAAGATGAATAAGTTTTTCATAGCTGTACGGTAAGTTATAAAATTTCTCTTCTATGTGTTTAATGTGGCAATTGGAAAAAGCCGTTGAAACATGTAAGTACGACTAATAATAAAAATGGATATGTTATGTTAATTTAAAATCTAAAGATTGATTAAAATTATTCTATGCCTGTGTAATATGTATAAACAGGCTGTCCCATAAAGATATATACCTTAAATATCTCCGGAGATTATTAAGATAATCAAATTCTGTTTTTTTTTTTTTATATTACTCTCAGGGATGAGGATTACAAATATTATATTTGAATTAAATTGAAAAATAACGTTATTTTATTATTTTTAGAAAATTTTAAGATAGCCATTCTGTATCGTTTATTTTACTGACAATTTTAATGTATCACCTACTAGAAATTCGTTTGGTTATACCGTTATTAATTTCCCCTTAAAAATAATACCGGTATAAAATAAAGAAATTCGTTAGTGATACCGGTTCAACAATTTTGTTATACCGGTTTAGTTTTTCTGACCCGCTTCGCGATATAGTTCAAATATTTTATACAGGTAGAATCCCTTTCTTTCCTAATGTTCCCATCGCGATCATTCCTCTGTTTCATATTCTTATCAAATTATCACAAAATAACCTACCATAAAATGTATGATTGAATTATTTTCTTCATTATTTTTCTTCACATTGACATTTTTGAATTACAACGAATAAAGATAGAAGATTCAGTTGATTACTATATCGAAATTTAAAGGTATATGTACAGTGTGATAACAAATAAGTATGGATGATAGAGGTGATAATGATATTTTGTATCAACTTCAAGTCATCGAATATCTTGATATACTGATATAAAATAAAAGACACTGGTATAATTATTGGAATATAACGGTATTATCAAACGAATTTCTAGACATTTATGTCCGATGAATAGTTTCTGAGTAATAGCCGTATTAAATTGTTTCTTAGAAACTATTCATTGGATATAAATGTGTGATACATTACAATTTTCAGAAAAATAAAGTACATAATGGCTATCTTAAAATTGTCTGAAAATCGTAAAACGAAAGTTATTTTTTTAAATTTGTTTACTAAAAAAAAATATTGAATTGAAATTTAAATATTTGTATTTTATAGTCTTCATCCCTGTGAATAATATATATAAAAAAAAAAACAGATTTTAATTATCTTTATTATCTTCGGAGATATTCAAGGAGTATATTCACGAGACAGCCTGTATATAAATGTATAATATACATGTGTATATTGTAAATGCTAAATGCGATAATCTAGGCTTAAAAAAAAATATTAACAATTTAATACCACGAGATTTTCCATTTTGTGGGCTAGTTTTACAATTTCTCTGGCGCCAATTACGTTTATTCCAATGGCAATGTCAAGGCGTTCATCGAATCTAACTGTGGCTGCACTATGAAAAATTACATTCACTTCTTTGACTAACGTGTTCAGGTCGTTTTCAGATAGTCCTAATTGCGCTTGGCTGCAGTCACCGCTAAGTGCGATAATTCTTTGTAGCTTTGATGGTTCAATGTCTTGAAAAATCTAGTTTATGTAAAAGAAAAAAAAACACTTGCTTAAACATTATTTCTAAAATAAACGAAATGCAATTATTTTACGTACCGGTAAATTAAATATGTCTTCTAGTCTTTCATGCGCGCTTTTTCCTTTTTTGTCTCTCACCAGTAGGTAAATACGTTTGATCTGCGGACATGATCTAATCAATTTGTTAACGATTAGCTTACCAAGAAACCCAGTTCCTCCGGTAATGAAAATGGTTTTGTTTTTGAAAAACTCTTGAATATTTGATTTTAATTCCGGCTTAGTGAAAGCCATTTTTATGTTTGACGAAATTGAATACGTTGGCTGTAAAAATAATAAAATAAGTAAGTGCATTTAAATAAAAACACTATTCACGTCTTGTGTAGGGAAAAATAATATCGGCTCGAATACCGAGTTTGGGTGCAATAGAATTGTTAAAAGCGAATCATTGTATGATTAAAAAGTAGAAAGTCGTTTTAGATTTCTCTTACTCGCTTAAATATTTAATGTATTGCGTGTATAGTGTACATACCAAGTTTCATTAATATTTATCGAAAAACTAACAAATTCAAGTAAAGGTTATCGAAATTATTGTTTGTGATTTGTACATAATATCCTACCTTCGTCACAAAGTTAAATTTACCTTTCTACCAAATTTAATATATAATATACACCTACCTATAATAAGGATTGTTTTTTTAAACAGATTACTTTGTATCATTTATATACATTATTAATATAGAGGAAACAGAATAAAAAATAAAAAAAAACCTATTAAACCAGACGTTACACCATAATGTTTTGTTTTTTAGGACTTCAGGATAGCTTTTATATGTTTCATAATTATTATTTAGAGCTTTTACTATAAAATAATATATAAGGAATTCTTATTGTCGTGGATTTTAGAGTTTAACTTTAAAAATTAGTTTAAAATGAAAAGAAAACAGTATGTAGGTATAGAAAAAAGTTTTTTTATAAATATAGGGAACATTTTATTTGAATTCTATAAAACATTTTGAAAACAAGCAATTTTTTTTTTAACGTCTCACACTTGCACATTTTGTAGACTGCTTATAGTGAATAATTGTACTAGTATAAAAATCAAGAAAATATTTTAACACATACCTATTATTTTAATTTTAAAACAAAGCTCAACATATAAGTATCTAACTGATAATGGGCGTCAGATGGATCATCATTTCTTTGTTTTATTATTATTTTTTAAAACAATATTCAAATTATAAATTCGCACTTTAAACTGGAAAAACAAATGAAATATTGTACAGTTAATATATCAAAGAATCATTCTTTGAAACATAGTAAATATTTTCATTTTTAATTTGGTGAAATCAATTTTTGTTTTAGGTCTATTAAATCCTAAATAGGTACTAATAAAAGCACAAAACCACATTTTTACTATATTATCCGTTGGATAAATGGGCAAATGTTACTCTTAATATATTTTGTTGATAAATACGATAACTTTAAATGCGGTTTCTAACGAGGTGCGTAATTATAATTATTGTTCTTTTTTGTTGACGATATTTAATCGGTTTTGTCGACGAGTAATGATAAATTTACACCTACAGGTATACTTTTAATTAATCAATGTCATCGTGACCAAAATTTAGTCAATCGTATATGTCACACTGATACGCATGTCTGCGTTTTAATAATATGACGTTTTTACAATGCTAATATTGTTGACGATAATGTACATTGGCATTTATTAATAATACAACTTCAAAGTGACGGTGTGGTGTAGTTGTGTTCATACTTCAATGGAATGAACAAACTTTACTCATAACACTTGTATAACTTACACGCCGTCAAAGAATATACAATATTATATTATACATATATATATTTATATATATGGAAGGAAATAATATGCGATGGATTCAAAACAAAAAAAAAAGAAAAGAGTTAAGACTGCTGATGGGTGTGCACTGTGCAGAAACACACAGTTGTACATTTTATTTGCTAACGAAAAACGATTCTGTATAAAAATCGATATATTATATGTTTTAAATCATCGTAATTTTTACTATTTTTGTCAACATTTTAACTTAAAACGTTTACAAAAAACAACAACTACATTATGATCAACTTTTGTTTTACCACTCAGTATAATTTATAATGAACGTCGTGTTAAATTTTTCAAGCATTTCTGTTTGGCCAAACAAATTCATTCATACAAAACCAAATAAAAGAAATCTGTAAAACAAAAATGATTAAAGGAAAAAGTGCACGCCTCTTTCAATAAAATAAATATAGGTAAGAACTGAATACCTACACAAAGTTATTCATACAAAGACTTTTTTTTTTTAATACACACCACTTGGATAACATAATATTATTATCTGAAGAGCGTGCAATTTTTTGAAGTCAAATAAGGACTTGCGAACAAGTGTGCTTTATATCCCGAACGAATGGACCAACATTAAATGCAAAAGTCATTACGAGTGATTATCAGCGTTTACAACAAATACGCGCAGATAGCGACTATAAAACTACATCCCGTGGGTTTAATCGATTAATTGCAGGTTGGTTACGACTAATAGCTGGCAATGGGTTTTGATACTTATCGAAATGTCTCTTTCTCTATCTCTCTCTATCTGTTAATGGTATAAACTATTCACATGCAACATCGTAATTCGGGCGGTTGTAGATCGGGTGAATAGGACAGTGTTAGATTCTGAACGCAACGAGGAACGTATTGGTTTTACTATGATGTGTGTGTGTGTGTTTTTTTGTCTGTAAACGACATTTTTACCAGAAATATCGCTTCAATTTTCAGACGCAGCATCTCTTTTTGAAAGAAAATTTTATCTAGTCGGTGCTAATTATAAGATCGTTTTTATTTTCTTTGCAGTTTTCTTTCTAATCTGGAAAATGTAGAAAATCTCAAAGAAATACGGTTTTATTATTTTTGATTTTATTTTTTTGTTGTAATTCAGTTAGAAATAGTCGCAGAGACCTGAAATTCTCACAGAATATTTATATTAATATTTTCTTAAAAAACGTCTGGCTATTTTTAAGCTATATAGGCTTTTGAAATTTTTAAGTTTTTTAGTTTTATGTGGTTTTGTGTGGATACAATTGTATTGGCCAAGTAGAAACGCTTGAAAATTTTACGCAAGTTCTTTTATAAGTTGTCATCAGTGGTAAAATAAAGATTGAGATTATGCTGAACTAATATAATAAATTACTATACTAGTAATTTTTTATTACCTTTTTTTAAGATTAAAATTATTGACGAAAATCGTAAAAACCACAGTATTTCAAAACTTGTTAAACGAAATTCGCTCAGAATCGTATTTCATTACAATGATTTTTCGTCGAGTACGGATAAAAATTAAATAACTATGTATCCTACTTTCCCAATTTCCCAACTACAACTTTGTTTTGAAAATTATCAGATCGTGGTTCAAAATATGTCGTCTAAACCTAGAAAATAGATCATTTGAGCGATACAAATGAATATCCATTAAGTATAGGGGAGGGTATAGAAAGAAGGCTCTTTCCCTTGAAAAATATTAAAATCCACAAAAAATTGTTGTTTTTGAGCATTGATGCACAGGATTATTATTTATTTACCACCTCGTAATGGTCCTATTATAATTCCATAACATTTTTTACAGGTTATGTTTTCTGTTTTCTATTTAATATCTATTTGTATATTAGAAGCGTGTTTGAAAATCTGGTTCTGGTTTGACCTTTCCCTGGAAATTACCTTATAGTCGCCCATGGCAATGAATACGTGTGTGGAAAGTACTTATTAATCTACAAACAGAAGGCGCGGCGCATTGAATGTTCGCAAACATTCGAATTTTACCTTCTAACTTCAATAAAATGCATTGACCCGTACGGAGAACTAGCTAGGCCTCGTATAGGTTTCGTCTTTAGAAAAGGGAAATCATATTATTGTGTGACTCCGCTACAACATCGAAAAGATAATTTCGTGTGCGTATACCGGTTTTCGAATGCCTATATTTAAAAAAGTAAAACTATGTTTTATATTTTTATTGCCTATAGAAAGTTGTATATACTTAATAATTTTATATTGTAAATGATTTAACTGTTTGAAATGGTGTATTTTCTCTTGTCCTCAATTAGTCACCTGGTCTTATCCGGGAACTGCATCCGGAATAAATTTTTAATGCCTACCTAATAATATCATTATACTGCATGTCGTGATGAATCACTCAGTGGTATGCGATTTAAAACATCAAATACGAAAACTATTATTAAACTTCAATGGCTTAATCGCGTTCATAATAGGTAATAAGAGAATATATTATGATCATATACATTTATATATTTATCTATTACTATATTTAATATACCGGCGAGTGTTAGAATTTGCAGACATGTTTATTGAATAATAATTTTTAGACTGTCACCAGCAAAGTCAATACATACGAGTATAATATTATGTCTATATTACATAAATTTAATAATAAAAATTAAATTTAGATAATTCGCTCTATAAATTTAACATAATATTTGATCATATATTATGCATCTAAACCAAATTTTAAACGATAATAATTACCTATCGAAAAGTCCTTTTTTAATTAAAATGTATTAATAATCATTTTTTTAGTAACCTAACCTAACCTTACGATTTTGTTATAATCTATATACTATATTTGTTTACAATCGTTTTTTTCTATAAAAAAAAGTCTTATGTATTATATAATATTATGATTAAAATCGAAAAAATTCATATTAATTATGGACAATTTTCGATGTTTTAAAAATCAACATTTTGTCGGTACTTACTATTATTGTCAAACAGTGAATTTTCGGTGTTTGGTAGGTGTATTCTAAGTAGTTAAGTTTTAATTATCTATATTTATAATATTATTATAGAAATAATCGATATTGTATTGCTTTCAATAAAGCTTTCTTGGATTTAAATAAATAATGTATACCTATTATTCATATAATAAGTAATGCTTATATTGCTTATAGGTAGGTATCTTACTTAGAATGCCGACGGATTCAATAGTGGGTAGATACTGCTGCTGTTTGACGATCGTCGAAGAAGAGAAAAAAAATGTCAAACTTGTACTTTTCTGTATAATTTAATCATCACTTGGTAGGTAGAGAAAAAAAAACAGATGAACAAATACACTCGAAAAAAAAAAAGGAGTAAGAATAGTTCAAAATACGCGAAAATACCGCGATTTTCGTCACGCTGGTCGTGGTGGTAGTACGTCTAACGATATCGGTCCGATATATGTCTAGGTATCCTGCAGCACTGTGTTAACCGAACGACAACCGGTGGGTGAATTGGTCAAACGAGGTTTACGATTTTATTATACTCGTCGTTTACCAGCCTCTGGTGGCGCTGGTTTACACTGGAAACTTGGTTACTGGAGATGGTACGGACCGTTATGAACTGACACACACAACATTGACCCCTCTCTCCTGCGGACGATGACGACGGAGCGTGGATACGATAACTGAGGTTACTGCGGTGATATTGGTACCTATTCATATATATATGAATATTCACTTGAATTATGCGGAAAGAATATAAATTAATTTGACATACGTTCTAAAATATAGTCTATAATGGAATATATTTTTGGTTTTTTTTTTATTCATAGTAAACTACATAAATGCATATCATATCTTCTGAGTTTTAAGACCGAAAAGCCGATATGATGCTAGTGAAAAAAAAAACTACACACATACATATATACATGTATGTGCACATTTTTTATTATTATAATATGTGATACCTAATGATAATATTCGGGAAGACGAATTTAATAACTGAACGTAGTATTTTGTAGTTATTGTTTAGTACGTATATATTATGTTTAAAAGTTTTAACAGCATGCTATTCAATAAGAAAAAAAAAAACGGGTTATTTGAAAAACCAGTACGACAGTATCTGTTATTATGTTTATACGTGTTACAAATAACTTGTTGAGGATTTTTGCCAATAATTGTGTAGAAAAATCACAACGGTAAACCGAACTTTAAATTTAAAATATTAAATATTATTCTCCAGAATATTTTATTCACCTGGTATTCCTGGTACGTCCGTATTAGTAAAGTTCCGAGGGAGTTGATAACGCGCGGTATACATGGTTCATCGTGATAAACTGATGATATGCAACTTGCAAAGCGATACATCGCGAGACATGTGACCCGATATAGTAATCATTGTTATCTGGAAGATTATGAAACACGTGGGAAAAAAAAGTCTTTTATAATACATTCACGCGTGTCGTCAGAACCGTACCTATAGGTATACTTGTATTATATCGGCATGATTGGCTCAGGCCATATAGCGTATATTTTAAAAAAGGCACGAAATTCAAAATTTGTACACAATATAAATATTACATTGCCTTCCAAAATATTCAACTTAACGATTGATTCTTTGTTAGAGGATTATTGGTTACCAAAATATTTAAATTGCCTCGTATAATGAAACATTATTATACGATAGTGACATTTTCCCTACATTATTAAATATAATAGGTAATTTATCTCTGGCATAAATTTAAATCACGATGAAAACTGGATCCGATTGAAATTTAGTTGATAACGTTGAATTTCAGAACAAGACAGGTCTAAGATATGATCCAACATAGGTATTATCAAACTGTTAGACTTTAGAATTAGAATGCATATATTATTGTTTTGATTGAACATAGCTGCATTTTCCTAAGGAAATATTTAACAAAAACAATAATTATATCGTTTTCGTTAATGTCTTTTAAATTTACAATACGGTTAACCGATCGAATCTATTTCCTGTCATAGCGATCCTTAATAAGTCGTTTTCGTACAGTTCGGCGGAGAAAACTTTCTTTTGGGCGAAATAGGTTGTGTCCAAACGGCCCGTAACACGTAGTAGGTATATTACACTATAGTGTAATGTGTATATGTTTATAAACATGGTAAACTAGTGTAATGAGTACATAAACACGGCCCGCAGAGGAGGTTATAGTCCCCATAGCCTCCCGTAAGTATTTTTTCGAACGAACGTACCAAACTATTATTATTATGACAACGAGAGCGAAGTGACCGACCGACCGTCGCCACAGTCATGGCCATCACCGCGGTCGCGTCATGCCCCACTTAATAAGAAATGCGGTTCCGTGAGTTCGGCGGCAACCAGCTGTATGATAAATAATAATAATATTACAGTCGCTACGAAGACCTACTTTTCGGACGGTACCCAGTGTTAAGGACGTTAAGGTCATTCGGGTTTTTAAATACGTCAACATTCGTATATAACGATAATATTATAATTCCTCTCGGCCCGTTTAGAATACGCATAATACGACGCGCACACGCGTTTCGAACGAATACAATGTAGTAACAAGAAAAAAAAAGACGTTCTAGGATAACGGAGACGGGTGCAGCCGCTGTTATAGGTAATTTCATGTTTATCTATAAGCAACGATAAACCATTTCATAATAATAAATCATCGCTAATGAAAAAACGATTCTGAGCGCAATTCAATTAATAGTGATGCTTTGCCAACAATATATATGTCATATTATGGTAAAATAATTAAATAAGCATTATACATTGTACATTGTACCGATTTTACCGTTTTTTCTGCGTTTTTCCATGCTTTTTCCGGTTTTTCACATTTGCTGAGAAAACTTTAGAGGAAATCGAAAAATTACCTCGCTTAAGTGCCTTCTCAGTCAGATTCATTTTTAGAATAGAAGCTGTCATTGTAAATCAGAGCAAAATTGCCGGTAGAAAAGTTATTTACACACAAAAAAGTCCATAATATTTTTTTACTTATACCTACATTTCGTATATTTTCCGTTTTTCCAACTATTTTTGCTGGTTTTTCCCAGATGTTATGAAAACCGCTTGAAATATTAAAAAATGACCTCCCTAAATTACCATGAAGATAAAATTTCTTTTCAGAAAATAAGTGACGCTTGATATATCGGAGCAAGATTTTTGGTAGAAAAGTTTGCACAACAAATCGAAGGGTATTTTGCGATTAAAATAGACTGAGTGAGCGATAGCTGGGTGTCTAGGTACACCTAAAATGCATTTGTTTTTTCTTTGTATAGGTAAAAGGGAAAAATAACTGTAAATAATTTTTTTCGAAGCACTTGTTTGATGAACTCGCGACCCCTAGGATGACAAAAGGTATATATAATAATCATTCGATTATGACAAACGTAGTAAAGAGAATATAGAATATAATATAGAATTATTTAACATAACATATAATATCCGCTTAATATCAGAACTTCAAAAAACTTATAATAGTTTAGAAATTAATAATAATTTCGAACTATAATATCGAAACTTAGTCAATCCACTCAATTCTAACTTTACCATCGTTCTTTAATTGGCAACATACATATGTTCAAAATAGAAATTGAAAAATCAGGTTTGTTCCATATAATGTTTACTCAAACGATTTTTATCAAAATTTCATATTAAAATTCCTTTAAAAGAAAATATACTACATCAAAGCAAATTTTTTTTTTTGACGACAAAGTTAGATTCCTAATGAACCTCCTGTTCAATTTTCAAACATTTCATTTAAGTTTAACAATTTTACTACTGAGTACTTACTGATTAAAAATTAAGTACAAAACTCGAAAATTAAAATGTCTATAAACAGCTCAAAAATGGCTTAAATTTTTTTGAATATTTTACCATGTCTAGAAAAGGAAAATATAAGTTTTCTGTCCAAATTTATTTTTTATACGAATATTTTTAACTGAATTACAACAAATAACAAAATTAAAATATAATAAAAGCATTATTTTCGTAAATTTGTCGTTTTTCTTACGTTTTATACGGGTTTTTTCAGATATTATTAAAACCATTTGGAAAATCAAAAAATTACATTCTAAAAGTATTATCTGGACAATATTTTCTTTCAGAAATGGTGCCGCGCGTAAATATCTGAGTAAAATTTCTGGTAGAACTTTTGTACTCGGTACATAAAAATAAAATAAACATCTTTGTAAAACTAATACATTCTTCACTACTCTCAGAATGTAAAAGAGCTAAATTTAAGAGACGATAAACTTTTGTAAGTGGAAAGTTGGGAAGGTAGGACAATGTGAAGTTATTTTAATTTATATCCGTAAGCAACGTTATAATAATGTAACGTGCAACGTTATATAATATGCATATATTATATTATTATATGTTATATCATATAATATGCAACGTTATACTTGCTAATGATATGTTGAAAGGCCTTTTTATTAAAGGCTATTTACGTCAAAATTCGTTTTTAAATTCTTCAATAAAAAATTACATTATACTCAACTTTTTTTGTACTACTAAGTACAACTTATATTGGACCTACATATAAATTATCAAGCATTTTTGGTCAAACAATTTTATCCACTTAGAGTGCTACCAAATAAAAATTATGTGAAAAACTCGCATAGTTAAAACGTCTATGGATAACTTAACAATAGCTCAAATGGCTTTACAATTTTTCTACTTTTAGAAAAGGCAAATATTGGTTTTCTGTCAAAATGTCAAATCTCTACAAATATTTAAATCAAAAACAAAATTAAAAATAATATAAAAGCATTAATTTTGTAAATATGGCTGTTCCTTCTACGTTTTTTTTGGTTATGCTCAATTATTAAAAAAACTACAGAGAAAATTTAAAAACTCCTTGTTTATTCACCAACTAGATTCAAAATTCAATAAAAGAGATTTCTTGGTGTTTTTTTATTAGAGTATTAGATATTAACGGGTATTTTGTATCTATACACATAGATATATAATTATTATTTTCCATCAGTAGCGTGTAGGGAGGATATTAGGGATTATACACCTTCCCCAATTGACTTCAAAATACATTTGGGTTATTTGGATCCGGCTTTTAAATTATCACTGTCGGGTTTGGTAGGTAGGATAGAAGAAGATTCTATTCTATTTATTCATGAATGTCATTTACTATTTAACGCATCCCCTCTCATTTAAAATCCTCGGGCATGCCACTGAATTCTATTCCATGTAATGTATATTGTATTATAGTGTTATTTTAACTTTTTTGGAATATTGTTTAAATTATTTTTTTTTTTTACTTCTGGTTTGAAAGAAAACATGTAAACTAAAACTTGTTTTATTTTTTTTACGGTTATGCAATATTCTTTTGAATTTAGTAGATTTTATAACAGTATATAATTCAAATAATAATATTCAGTATTTATTTTATATGTAGGTAAATATTTTATAATACTATTTATCATATAAACATATTTGACCTATTATTATGGGCAATATAATGTATGCATATAAAAATCTTTGTTGACATTATACATTTTGTTTGATATCAAACATTAATGTCTATACAACGATTAATGCTTA